CAGAGAGAGGGCTTACAGGACCACGCCCAGGGAGGAGGCCAAGGCCAGGTGAGTGGTGATTATCTGGGCTTCCAAAAGGGAGAGACAGTGGCACGCAGGTCACGGTGGGGCTGTGGGGCCCAGAGGGCAAGGTGTTGGAAGGGGTGAAGAGAGGGATTTTGGAGGAGGAAGAGGCACCAGGGTCCTTGGAGAGTAGCTGCACTGGGGAGAGAAATGGGGCTAAATGGTTTGTGACCTGGGCAGAGAGGGGGCATCTGGGCTGTGATGTGCCCAGCAGGGGCCTGGGGCAGTGACAGACGTTGTGGGTGGATGGAGGGTGAGCTGAGAGTCCATGCGGCCTCTGACCTCCAGTGGCTCTTCCTTCCAGACCTAGTTTGTGGTGTGACCTGTACATGTGAAGTGGATGGACGGCCTGTATCTGGGTGGCTCTGGCTTCTGGCCAASAGGAGCCAAAGTCAGTTGGCAGCAGTGTGGACCCTCAAGAGTGTAGTTCACTAAGACTGGCTCCTGGACAGTCTTATGCACCTTGACTGCTGGGTAGCAAGCAGGTCCCTCCTCTGGTCACCAAATGTCTCTGGTGGGGTGGTGAGGTGGCCTGTGGGGTGGCCTGGGCACAGCCTCGTGGATGCAGGATACTTCTGTGTCTTGAGCAGGTGGACAGAGGCCTTGGTCTGTCCTACTAGTTGGCCACTCCATACTGGAGAGGTCCAGGTGCCAGCAATTGAGGGATGCAGCCTCCCGCTGGAGGGTCGCAGGGATTTGGACTCAGGCTGACAGGGCCCCTTGTTGAGATGTGGCCTTAGCTGCCCACCTGCCTCCTCTGGACTAGAGGGGAAGGGCCCTGAGGCTGCTGCAGGAAACCAGCCCACCCGGCATCCCCACCCCAGGAGGCCACATTCTCTGCCATTCCTTGGTTAAGGTAGTGACTTGGCAAAAAAACGAGAAAATAGGGACAGGCAGACACCGCCGCCTCCCCTGGGCTGTGGGCAATTCCCTCATCCGTGGGGTGCAGGCCAGCTCTCCTCCTCCCAAGGCATGGCGAGGAAGCAGGTGGAGGTGACATCCTGAGTGGCGACCTGCAGTGAGCGCAGCTCAGACTGAAGCGCGTTAGGAAACCATGTTCAAGGCAGAGGCGGGCGGTGTGGTGGGGCCGGGAAGAGGCCCACCGAAGCCTCTTGGCCCCAGAGGCCAGAAACACCTGTTCCCAGGCCCCTGCGGCTCCGGCTGGGAGGTGGGGCTAGCGACCTCCTCAGGAAACCCTGCTCCAAGGGCCTCCTGGGTGGGAGCCTCCAGCCCGGTGGTTCCGGGACCTCCACAGCGACCATGCTCCACTTCTCCAGACTGCCTCCTTGGAAAACGTCCCCAAGATGGTCGCCCTTACCCCACCCCTTTCTCTTGTCCGGAAAGAGTGTCTCAAGTCACCTGTCCAGAGGACAACTGGCTGGCCCTGCGGAACCCAGGTGTAAGTCTCTGCCTGATGTAAGGTATAGCAGACCCGTGTGAACCTACGCGCGGGGCCTTCCTCTGAAAGTGAAAACTGACTGGGGGCCTCAAGAGATGAACTAATCCCTCTACCTGATCACCTGTTGGGAAAAGGACAGGGCATCCATGCTGGGCTGGCTTTGGTGGACCTAAAAGTTAGAAATTTTAAGGAGAAAATACATCATGAAAGATTCCTGGAACTAGGATCTCCCTCCCCCAGTACAGAGAGGTTTATTAGGAAAACAGATCCATATTGAGAGCACAATGCAGGCTATCCCCAGAGGGAGAGACAGCCTGGAACCAGGACCTTAATGCCTTAGACCTGGCTCCTCTGGAGGCTGAGGCGRGAGGATGATTTGAGCCCAGGAATTAGAGGCCAACCTGGGCACCGTAGCAAGACCCTATCTCAATAAAACAAACAACCCACCCCCACCCCAAAACAATAGAGCAAGGGAGAAACCAAGAAAATTGATGCAGGATATCCTTTTCTTTTGTCGTACTGGGGATTGGATCCAGGGTCTCTAGATATTAAGCAAATGCAGTACCACAGCCCTTTTAATTTTGAATCAGGGTCTTGCTAAGTCACCCAGGATGGCCTGGAACTTGTGATTCTCCTGCCTCACCCTCATGAGTTGCTGGGGTATAGGTGTGTGCCACTGTGCTTGGCTAGAGTTTTTTTTTAAGAAAGCTATTTGCTAATAAGAACAGAGGAAGAAAAATCTGGTCTTTAAAGACGGTGTTATGTGAGAACAACTCTCTCCATGCTTCTACGAATATTTGGAAATTCTATTTCTAACTGGCAGAAAGCACAGCGTGACCACAAGACATTTATAGATAAGCCTGTTTATTGCATAACTAGCAGGCACAAATCCCAAAACGATTTTACAACACGTGAAGGGTACAATAATTACAGGAATAGGATGTACAGTAAAAATGAGAAGTAAGCACAGTCATGAGGGACACAGAGAAAACACATTTGAATAAAAGGCATCTCATTTTTTTTCCTATGCAGCATTTTCTTTTGTAAGAACAAAGGTCAGCTTCAACCAGGACAAGGAGGAAAACAAAATCCTACTATTGGGAAGCTCACGGGTGCTGTCGAGGGTAAAACCATGCTAGTTTCACTCTGAGTTCTGCGACTGAAGTCGCCTGGGGAACTGGGTAGCAGCTCCCAAGTTGTGCACTTCTAGTTCCAATTTCATGAAATGCTGTATTTGATCTTTGGGCCCAATCCATTGTTCTTTGGCAAATAAGAACTATCTGCATTCCCAGCTGGAAGATGATTTCAGTGCAAGGAGCGGGGCTTGGGGGTGGAGCTGCTTCCTCCTGCTTAGCACAAGTGCTTGTTCATAAAGTGCAACTCTGTCCTGTTGGCTTCAGGGAAGCGGGGTGCACAGGCGGGGAGGGAGAGTTGAGAATAAGGGCGAAGAAACACTTCAGGTTGCAGACATGACTCGTGAAAGGCTGTGGAATCCATGTGCAAAAAATGGCCAGGACAAGTGCGCAGACAAGGTGCGGTTTGCCAACAGGAACAGAGAACTCTGGCGCTAGGAACAGAGGAACAGAGGTCTCACACAAGGGAACCTCATGAGGAGGGTAACTTGGGGCTCTCCTGCTACTGCCTGTCACTGCACTTGGGAGCCTCTGTCCAGGGTCTGGCACTGGGGGTCACTGAGCCAGCTCTCCAGGTGGTATTCTCACAGCTGGAAATACTTTGTTGGTCCCACAATCCTCCACTCTCTAGGGTATAAAGACAACTGCTGCAGATCCCGAGTGTTCAAGGGAAGTCACCACTTCACTTCCTGCAGACGACTCTACGGAGACCTGTTCTCCCTGGGAGCCATGGGTACCAGCTCAGCAGGCCACTGGGTCTTTCCCAAGGATGATGGGAGCCTGGGAGCAGCAGGTATTTGCAAGTCCATGAAGCACACAGAGGGGGTCAGCCAGCACTGGGGCTCAGACAGGGGGCCCCTTTTAGAAGGCATCTGCTGAGCATCCAGCACTCCTGTGGCACTTAGGGATGTGCAGACAGTAAGCAAGAAGACTTCAGAGACGTGAACCCTTTTCCTGTGCTGTTCACACTGCAGCGAACCAAAGGTGTCCACAGGCCATGWTGTAGCAAACCCCAAAGCACCATAGTGACACTGCTTCCAGGACAGCATAGGTCAAGGGGTAAAAGTATGGGAGTTGGTTCTGTGAAAACAGCCCCGGTCAGCATGCGAGGTGACTTGTACTTTAATCACTTGACTTCCTCAGGTATGATCACCATGGCACAGAACGTATGGGTAAAAAGAGGGCAACATCAGAGGGTGGGACCACCACCTTCTGGGTCAGGCTCAGAGGCCAGGAAAAGCCAGGAGCTCCCGTTTCAAGTTTATAGCTCCGGGTAGAGGCCGTAAGCCCGCAGCTCACCTGGGAGTAGCCGCCTGTGGATGTGTCTGGATTGGCTGTCAACATTTCTAATTGGAGAGTTGGCACCAAAAAAATCCAGATTTCTGGTGCCTCTTGTGGCACAAAAAAAGCTCTGGCCACACCAGGCCCACTTTTCTACTGGTGATGAGTGTGGTGGGGGAGCAGCTGTCCCTGCCTGGGTGGCCATGGGTCCCGCTGTCCCTCTTCAGGCCTCTGCTGTGCTCTGGCCCACTGCATTCACGGGTACTTCAGGTCGGTCACTGACGAGCCGCCCCCCACAGGAACTGCTGCCCAGAGCGGGCTCTTGAGCCGCAGCATGTTCTAGACTTCAGCAGCTCCTTTCCTAGGAGCACTCGAAGAAAGTCCTTTCCTTTTTTCTTTTTTTTGGTGGTGCTGGGGATAAAACCTGCATGTGCTCCGCCACTGGGCCCTGCCAGGAATTCTTGAGAGCTGGCGTCTAAGTGCCAGTGAGGTGAAGGGGGAGACGCTGACTTGGATGACGTTCACCTTACCTTAGAGGAGGTCCTGACAGAGGATGGGACGCGTGAAGCTGCTCATGTGAGGAAGCTGTCGGCGGGAAAGGAGAACCAAGGTGTGGATGAAAGGGACATACAGTGTCAGTTTGTGGCAGTGACATCTGAGTAGGTGGAACAAAGTTAGTTATGGCTTGTTAAACTGATGCTTGTCTTTGCCGCACGTTCTGAATGAGCCGCGTGGTTTGGGGTAAGGCAGAGTACTTGATGATGGGTGACAATGGGTAGTGCTCCTTCCTGAACATGGCCACATGGGACACGGTGTGGAAGGTGAATGCTTTATCTGACTGTAAGAAGACTTCAGAATAATGGTAAAATATAAACAGATAGAAAATAAAGACAAAAAATTAAATAACAGAACATTCAGACACGATAAAACAGACACAGGCAATTCCTTGTTCCCTCCTACACGAGGTTGTTAACACTAATTTAGAACATGGCAAAGTCCTTTCTCTACATACATGCTTGGAGATACCCCAAACTTAAGATACCCCAAACTTGAACTTGTTTTGCAGTTGGTTGGAAAATCCACTTATTGCACGATGCTTGATAGGGAAACAGGTGGTGTTCACCTTTTTTTTTTTTTTTTTGATCCAACTCTCTCAAGAAAATGTTTTACTAAAAAAAAAATCTCACTTATCTTACGTACAGGTAGGGAGCTTAAAGGGATTTTAACGAATTTTGAACAATGAAAGTACTTTTGGATGTGTATGATCATGGTCTCACAGTCACCAACAACACAACGGGACATCAGAAACTAAACGGGCAAACAGGCATGAAATAAGGCAAGTGGGTTAAATTAATAGTTGAAAATTTGTTAGAAAACATGCAAAAATAACACTGAGTTTTCTTTTAAAAAGTTTTAAATCATCGTTAAATGTTTTTGTAAAAATCTGGAGTTCCATGTCTAAATTTGAATTGGACTTTTAAAAGTCTAGAAAAAAGAAAGGGCAGCACTCCACTGTTCAGTTGTTGTTCTCTTTGGTGGTGATGGTGACCAGCTGCTTGGCGGCCTTGGCAATGTCGTAGGCACACTGGATGACCTGCTGCGTGACCAGCTGGACGTCCGTGGGTGAGCCCGAGTCCCCCGGGAGGGCCTTCTTGCACTCTGACTGGAGCCGGTAGGCGCTGGATGTCAGCAGGCGAAGGGAGGTTCTCACCATGTCAGATTTGGGTTTCTAAACAGAAAAACCACAGCCGGTCACCAGGGACTGCATGCTAGGCACCCACCAGCAAGGGACAAACAGGCCTGGAAAGCCCTCTGGCTGTTCCATCTGGCCAGAGGCCCATTGATTGGTTGTTCACTTCTTAACAGGGTTCTTTATTTTTTTTTTTTCAATTTATTTTTAATTGTAGTTGGACACAATATCTTTAATTAATTAATTTATTTTTATGTGGTGCTGAGGATCGAACCCAGGTCCCGCCCGTGCTAGGCGAGCGCTCTACTGCTGAGCCCCAGCCCCAGTCCTTCAACAGGGTACTTTAAACGCTATAAGCCCCGCAGCCCCTGGAGCAGAAGATGCAGAACTGCCTTGACTCCAGGCGTTAAGTGCACGCAGGGTGATTTTAGTAGTGTGGGCTGTTCTGAGATTGTTTTAAAAATATTAACTCCTGCAGTGACAGATTCCAGATAAAATTTTATTCTGTTAATAGTCTGCCTTGACTTCTATATCCTTGTCTTATTAAAATCAATATTTATGTAGAATGAAAATAGTCCAAAACACAATGTGACTGCATATTTTAAAAATTCTACAGGTTACAAAATGGTTAATATGACATGAAGATCATAAAGAAATTTCTTGCAGTGCAATTAAAAGGATCTAGCTGGGCACTGGGGTGCACACTTGTCATCCCAGCGGCTCAGGAGGCTGAGGCAGGAGGATTGCGAGTTCAAATCCAACCTCAGCAACTTAGCCAGGCCCTAAGCAACTCAGTGAGACCCTGTCTCTAAATAAACAATAATAGGGGCTGGGGATGTGGCTCAGTGGTTGAGTGCCCCTGAGTTCAATCCCTAGTACCAAAAAAAAACCAAAACCAAAACCAAAACCAAAAAAACATCTGAAGCAAGTGAGTAGAAAGTGACTTACTTTGGGGAATAATGCTGCCATTTCTGTAACAGCTACATGTATCCTCTCTGAGCAGGGAATATAACTGCAAAATAGTGAAGAGGTTATTCAAAGACTTTCAAAATGATCTGGAGGCAGACAATTCTCAGGGACCAGAGAGGTTCCATGTACATTTCTTTGACAACGCCGCCGAGCATCCTACACCAACAGAAGGCACAAGGTTATAAAGTGGGGTCTCGGTCCTCTGGTGAAAGTTCAGTCAATCTGTAAAAATAGTCTCTAATTGTGAAATGTGGCAACATATACTACTGGCCAGGAGAAGCCAGAAAACAGGATAAAAGCCATTTATACCTCAAGTTCATCCTTTACTTCTTGAATGTTTCCTTTCCCTTATTTCTAGAAAGAGAAACAAGGATTTCCATGCCAAAATCTACAAAGGTAAAAAATAAAGGACTGAGACAAATTCCTTAAAGTTATAATCGGAGCTCCTACTTCAGTATCCAAGGCCATTTCATCAGTGGGCCCTTCTAAATCCCTTTCACTCAAATCCATCTGAATTGTTAGGGACGCGTATCTTTCACTTTGGATAAAGAGAAAACACTGAGGTCTGCCTCATATACCATTCAGACACTCATCTACTTTGTCATGAAGTCACCATGTGCTTGTCTCTGATAAAATGCTATTACACTGTCAGCACTTTCTCGTATTTTGATGAGCTCTAAGAAAACAGCACACACCCCATCTGCCACCCTCACCCTTTCTTCCATGCTGTCTGGCTGCCTGGCCTTCCAGGGCTAGAGACTCACTTGACATTCCCTGTCGCCTTAGAGACTGGAATTTTATCACACACACTTTCCGAATGAGAAAGCTGCACCCCAGAGAGGAAGACAGGTCCAGATCCCACAGAGGTCAGAGGAGGACTGAGCTCAAACCCGCTGGCCACAGATTCACATCAACCTTATGGCAAGACTCTTTCCAGCCGTGAACAGTAATCTGACTTCTTGTGATGAGAAAGGAAAGAGTTAAGACTGTTTTTACCTAGGATTCTTTTTTTTTTTTTTAGTACTCTGGCAAGCAACAGATGAGGCCAGTTTCGTATCTTAAAAAAAATGTTAAGTTTGCATTCTAAGGAGTGTACCACTGCAGTATGCACAAGGACAAATACAGCCGTGGTGGCTCAGCAGGCAAGCATGTGCTGAGCACGAACAAGGTCCTAGGTTTAATCCCAGCATGGAAGAAAAAAGAAGCAAAACAAAATTGATGAGGTTGAGTGACGGTTGTTAGATACGACACTGCCACTGAGCCTGGGCTTGTGTCTTTGAGGACTGATCCACAGCGCAGGAGTGATGCTGGGTATGAGAGAAGCACTTTTGGAGAAATGCTTAGTATGTTAAGAGACACTGCCACAGATGGGTGTGGCTGGCTGTCAGAAGAACCCAGGGAGCTGGCTTTTGAATAAAGATGATATAAGCAATCTCTGTTTCTCCTTTGTAAGACATTTACTATCAAAACTATTTTAATTAAGACTGCCTACACCAGGCATGGTGGTGCATGCCTGTAATCCCAGSGGCTCGGGAGGCTGAGGCAGGAGGATCATGAGTTCAAAGCCAGCCTCAGCAACTTAGTGAGGCACTTGGCAACTCAGCAAGATCCTGTCTCTAAATAAAATATAAAAAAGGGCTGGGTATGTGGCTCAGTGGTTAAATGACCCTGGGTTCAATACCAGGTATCCCTACCCCCCCAGAAAAGAAAGATTGTTTTAATTACGTCAAGAAAATGGTTTATATATCTAAACATGCCTTCAAATTGAAAATCCTGACTTTAATTTTTCTTTTTTCCTGGTACTGGGGATTGAACCCTGGGGTTCCTTACCACTGAGCCACATCTCCAGTCCTTCTTTATTTTTAATTTTGAGACAGGGTTTCACTAAGTTTCTCAAGCCCTCACTAAGTTGCTGAAGCTGGCTTAACTTGCAATCCTCCTGCCTCAGTCTCCTGCATTGCTGGGATTACAGGCGTGCACCACCATGCCTGGTCTTCTATTTTTTAGAACAATTAGAACCATATATGATATACCAATAAACAAAAATGCCAATGAATAAGGAGTTAACTTGCAAATGTGAAGGGACAACAGCCTCCCTGGTCCTATGGGAAGAGCCACATCCACAGCAATCATTTCTGTCACTCAAGAATGTTCCCAATAATATCCCTGCAGCTGAGAACCACACCTAGATTTTTATGCTTTGCTGGTTAGGGTTTCATTTTGAGACACAATTCACCCCTGGGACATCCTTGACAAGCCACACGCACAACAGGCAGGCACATTTGAGTGAGGAGGTCGTCCTCCTGTGTCTGAGGGAGTTTATGTTCACAGTATCAGATTGGTATCTTTCAAAAAAAAAAATAGATAAAAGCTTCTGTACATGATCTGTTTGAATCCCCGGGTGCACRAACATGTGCGTGTCAAAGAGAGAAGAAATAAAGGGGAAGTGGGACTTGCAGGCCCAGGAGACAGCACTAGGCAGCAGGAGGTCAGGGGCTGAGGGGAGCTTGCTGGGCCCAGAGAACCAGGAGAGAGCCTCAAAGTGGCTGCAAGGTCTACCTGAGATGAGGTGAGCAACAGACTGGCAAAAGGAGAAACCACCAAAAAAGGCTTAGGTTTCATTAGTACAGCGCCAGGCTGCAAACGGAAGCGTCTTGGATATAGGAGTAGCCAGAGACTTTAACAGAACAYGAAACGGTTTATAAAGTATGAATTCTTTAGACCAATTCCAGTTTAAACCCAAAGCATAAGTTAATGATTAAAATCTCTGCATCATTCTCTCATGGTCTTAAAATAAAGAGATCAGATCCTGAAATGTGTTGAATGGATTTGTACATCTTAACAAAAAGAACCAAGCACCATATTGAAATTTCTGAAGCCAGAAACGGCCTCAGGGCAGATATTTATATTTTTGACAACTACTAAAGAAAGCAATACGATGTAAGCACATTTTTAGTTAGAAATACCAGCACAGCACTTCTGCACTGGAGGAAACTAAAAGTGGAGAACACTGATAAATGGGGTTGGGGGACTGGGGAAGGAGTCGGTTTGTGTCATGATTACTTGAAACACTGTCAAGACTGTGCCGTGGGAGGCTGCAGGTCACTTCACTCTACAAGACAGGGTTACTCACTGCCAAGACTGTAGCCCCAGGCAAAGGGACTGTGTGCTTGTAACACGTGAAGGGCAAGCACCTGGGAAAGCAGGAAGCCACACAGCTCCGTGGCTTCTGTAAAAGGAAGCTGAGGAAAGACAGGTTCCTCTTTTTCTCAAGGAGCTTGCAGCAGCCCACCCAGGAAGGAAAGCTCTTATCTTTCAATAAACACACTGTTCTTTTCTTCTCCAGTGGGAAACAGTGCTACTGGGAGAAGTGTGAGCTGCATAAAAAAGAAAAAAGGTAGAGAAAGGGGAGGTGGCCCAGCAGTGTCAGGGGCACAGGGGAGGGTCACAGGTAGGCTGTGGTGAAGAAGAGGAAGGAGCGGTGCTATTCCTCGCAGGGGTCAGGAGGACTTCTCTGCATCCTCAGCTCTGCTGACCTAATGCATGAGACTGTTCTTGGGATTGAAGAATTTCTGCTATTTTCTCAAACCTGGTGGGAAGCTGCTAAACAATGTTTTATGAGTGTGTCTGTCTAATCCCGCCYGCGGAGGGAAACCAGAACATTACGCAAAACAGTTCACAACCACCAGAATTCTCAGAGAACAAAAGGCTCAGCTACTCAGTAGAAGTAATCTTACAAGTGTACATACRCACACACAGGAGAGCCAGGTAAGAGGTAAGAAATCAGGTCCCTCTCGGGACACTGCTGGCCTGGGTAACCTTGCCCCTAGTGGAGGGTGACTTTGGAGCAGCAGAGGCCAGAAGAATCAATGGAAGGTCTGGAGGCAGCTTCTTCCCCTCTGCATCAATAATCAGGACTGCTGCCCCGGTACACTGACTGCAGCTTTATTTCTGGAGGCATTTATTTTCAGAGAGTTTGATAATGTGTTGAAAAACAAGCAAACAAAAGACAAAACCCCCAAACCAAACCTACACTTTTTTGTTGAGTTTTCAACTACCTTAAAGTCACAAGGTAGAAGCAATTCCCTTTCAGGGCTCCCTGTGTCCCTCTTGTCCCTTTCAGAGCATGAACACACGTCCTTCCAGTGCAGGACTCTAGCCCGCTCACCTGTCATGTTTATTTTCCTGGGCCGCTCTCAGGAGCTCCTGTATGTTTTTGGTGATCTGTTCAGTCTTGCGGATAACATCCTCGGTGCTGGGGAGCGTGGGGCTTGGGGCCRTGTGGGACTCTGGTGGATCTGGCATTGAGCACTCGCCTGGCCACACCATACTCCTTTGCCTTCCCTTTCGGCTTGACCTGTGAACAGTGAGGATGTGGCTAAACAGGACAGGCRCATATTGGCTGCTTCAGTTTCCAGGAGCCGCCTCTTGTGCACCGGCTGAACACACAGGCAGGCAGATTTTGTGGTTTCCTTCATCTGTTTGCAGAAACAGGGGAGGCTCCACTTCATCCTGTCAGCTCACCTAGACGCTACTTCCTTCTGCCCTCAGACCGGAAGCCAGGACCCAGGCAGATGGGTGCAGAGGGAGAGGGAGGGAATACCTGGGGTGTGTGGCATTAGAATCCCTGCAGAGCCAACTCCTTAGGTACTGTCAACTTAACACTGAAGTAAACCATTGATTTTAAGCACAGAGCAGMTACCAGCTGGTAAAAGCCCCTGTGGCAATAATGTGAATTGAAACCTGTAAACTGCGAGTCTGTGCCTGAGTATCTTAAGACCTACAGCTTTGAAAATAGGCATAAGGGATGCAGATGGCCAAGGCCTGCCAGTCGCTGGTCCTTGAGAGCCCACCCCCAGCACACTCTTCCCTCAGATGTACCCTGTGTCATCTGGCTCCGTGTCATTGGGAGTGTTGTCATAGTCACTCTCAGGTGTGCTGTTCTGCTTCTCCAGCCTGGAAGCCTACAGGAAAGAATAGGAGACCCCCATTAGTGCAGAACACAGGACACTTTGGAGTCTACCTAGGGAATCAATTACCTGTGAGTCTATGTGGCCTTCACACCTACACCTCATTTGGGACAGGAGCCAACTCTTTACTGAAATTTAGTAAAAATGAACAGTGGATTCAGAAATGTTTTCTTTCTCCACAAACAGTTCCACAAACTAAGCTGACACAGATATGCAAGACTGTCTCATTTAGTTCTCAAAGGAATATGAAATTCATAATATAATGGATGCAGTCAATAAGCAAACATGCCAGCATTTATACGATTGCAGACTTTCAGTGCTGGAAGTTATGGGCAGAAGATCTGATGGTTTCACACCAGAAGAGAAAATGAAGGGCCAAAAAAGACAGCTGACCTACCCAAGGACACGGAGGCTCTTGAGAAACAGGACCAAGAGCCCAGGCCCCCATATCCTGCTACAGGAATTTCCAACCTTCCATGCCTGCACTCAGATAGCTGTTGCTGCTCTCCAAGAGTTGCCTTCAAAGATGGTTTTTATGAGCCACCTGAGAAAACTGGCATTATTAGTTTATACCCACATGTTGTTTGTGAACCAAAATGGATAACCCAGTTTGACATTTGGTTTTAAACCAATTTTGTTTCCAAAAGTATCTGCCCCTTAAAATATAGAGATTTGGTGTAGTTGTAGAGATGAAAAAACGGAATGTAGATTTAAAGGAGGAGTCTTGGAAATGTTCTAAGAAAAAATGGTAGCACCACTAAATACAGTGCACTCCAGGGTGACAAAATGTGAAGGGGACTGGACCACACACCTTAGAAGGGGTCTGTGTTAGTTCCAGGATGTTTAGTGAAAGCTAATTTCCCTTGGAATGCTTTTCTTCATAACGTTTGAGGATTTCTTTATCTAACAGAAATTGATGTAAGCTATTCAAATCTTAAACTGATTACCTTACAAAATGCAAGTACGAGCTACTTCCAGCTATATACCCTGAGTTTCATTCAAGTTAATCAAAACATATGACTGAGAAATTTTATTGATGCTGCAATAAAATGTGACTGTATGCTTGAACACATGCAGACTTGTACCTTCATCCAAAGCATAGCTACTGGAGAGTAAGTTAAGCCAGGCACAGTAGTGCACGCTCATAATCTCAGCTATTCAGGAGGCCCAGACAGTAGGATCACAAGTTCAAGGCCAGCCTGGCAACTTAGTAAGAGCTTGTCTCAAAATAAAATAAAAAAAAAGGCTGCAGATGTAGCTCAATGGTAGAGTTTTTGCCTAGCATGTATGAGGCCCTGGGTTCAAACTCCAGTAGAAGAGGAGGAGGAGGATGAGGATGAGGAAGAGGAAAATGAGGATGAGGAGGATGAGGAAGATGAGGAGAAGGAGGAAGATGAGGAGGAGGATAAGGAGGAAGATGAGGAGGATGAGGAGGATAAGGATGAGGAGGAGAAGGAGGAAGATGAGGAGGAGGATAAGGAGGAAGATGAGGAGGATGAGGAGGATAAGGATGAGGAGGAGGAAGATGAGGAGGATGAGGAGGAGGAAGATGAGGAGGATGAGGATAAGGAGGAGGAGGAGGAGGAGTTGTTGTTCATCCAGAGCTTCTCTAGTGGAAAGAGTAAAATAAAATTAAACCCAGAAAAATCACACTTTTTATAATGGATCTTTTTGACTTCCTTGATGTAAATTTGATAGTTACAGATCAAATACTTTATCCACAATGATCAACAGTACCAAGTTTCATTTAAACATTTTAGAGGAGTAATGACTCACATACCCACTAAATGTCCTCAGGAAATGTTCCTCAAGTATAGAAACCACCACACACGGGGAAATCAGTTACTTACGCATTATGTCCTTCATCGTTGTCAACAAAAGCAAACAGGTTTCAATGTAGCCATTTAATTTTATGAGAATTATTGTGAACATGCAGAGCCAAGAGCCATTGGTTAAGTGTTGCTCTCTCAAAGCTGTTAATAGAAAAGTTATCTTATAGCTGGTGCTGGTTCAGTTTATTTAAGAGATTTACAGTTCTCTCTGAATAAAGACATGTCATGAATATCTAAACCTACAATGAAGMTGTCATGAACAACTAGGTGGTCAGTATAAATGACCTCACTGTTAATTTTGTATAAAACTGTCTCTCACCAAGCAGTGTTTGCAATGATTTCTGAAGCAACCCATATAAAACAAACAAACAAACAAAAAAACCAACACAAACATTTTCTAAACCCACAAAATTTCACAGTGGATGAAAGAGGTTTACTTGACTCTTACAAAATTTCAGATGAGATATTTCATTACTATTTTGCTGTCTTTTAATTTTTTACAGGAATAACAACATTACAAATCAATTTCAGGACTGCTCAGAAGACTTTGAGTATGATGAATCAAGAATTCTTTTTTTTTTTTAAGTTGTAAACGGATCTTTTATTTTATTTGTTTATTTAAATGCAGTGCTGAGGATCGAAACCAGGGCCTCACACATGCCAGGCAAGTGCTCTATCACTCACTGAGCCACAACCCGAGCCCCTCAAGAATTATTTTTAATACATAACTTCAAAAGTACAATAAGGAATTTCAAAAGGGCCTTAGCTAGTTACATGCCACTGACAGTGGACAGAAACTTCTCCATCGTTCCTGGGTATAAGGGAATGGACAAAGGCTCAGTGTAAATTTCACAAATTCCCAGGCTCACTGATACCTTCGATCGATCATTTCACCTTTTCTACAGTATCCTTTACTGAAAAAAAAGACTGAGCCAGAATCTGAATGCAGGTCTTCAAACTTGGGCTCTGTTCAGGGCTTCTCCAGGTGAGTACTTGCTGCAGTCATGTTCTCTTAGTACATGAAAAAGATATTTTTTTTTTTAAACTAACAGAGCCTTTGGGAACAGGGACTATGCTGCTTATAACTGACTTACCAAAAGAATGGGTAAAAAGAGATGCTGAATACCTGCTGCCTGGCTGTACTAAAAGGCTCTTACCTGGATCATGTTCCGCTCTTGGGAATGTAAACTACACACCAGCGGCCTGGGTCCGACCAACCAGCACAGGTGAACAGCTATCTGCTAACAGCTACCTGTACCCTCTCTGGATGCCAAGTGTTACAATTCTGGTTTAGGATGCAGGGTCTGTAAACCTTGGTTTGTAAAGTATAGTGCTGACATAAAATATGCCAGCAGTTTAAAGTTTTCATGCCAGTCCAAATGGAACAGTTTTAATCTGTTAACAACAGCTCCGAATAAATTGGACAGATGTGCCCTATTACAATATTTAACCAGCAGCCAGCTAATTCTATGATTATTTAAAAAGACAGTATGCTCAGAATAAATGATGTAGAGTGATTTTTGAACTGTTAAACATGATGTGAAAGTGAGCAATGTGAAGTTAGACAAGAGGGAGGCTGCCTCTCCACGATATGCGTGCATGTACGTGTGCGTGAGTGCGCGTGCCCGCTGCACTGTGGGAAACCAGGAGGGAAGCCAGCACTGCCTCATGCAGGACAGAGGGTAGTTAGCAGGGGACGGGGACAAGAGGGCCAGCGCCCAAGCACAAAGCGCCCAGGAGCACTGTCCCTCCTCCAGAGCAGACCATTCAGAGTGTACTTAACCCTTCGGGTGCTTTCGTCCCTTGACCAGGAAAGTGTGGAGGGGAAGGAAGGCAGAGATGAAGAGGAGGTCACAAGCGCACTCCTCCCGATCTAGAAGGGGAAAGAGAAACACACTCGGGAAAACACAAAACAAACAAACCCAACCGCCTTCCCTGGCTTCAGGAAAAGAGTCCTAGAAGACAACATCCTATGTGAGGTGAGTCCTGAACTCTAGGTGACAGCCCAAAGCCACGCCCCCGAGGTGTGGAATCCCCTGATGGAACACCTCCTAGAAATTACTCTGAATTTAAAGGACTACTTTTTTCCGTATGGGAAAAGAAGACTTCGCATTTGTGTCACATTTGCCAATAGTTATTTCTAATGGATTGTCAAAACCAAACGTGTCTTTCAATCAGGACTAATATGAATGAAATAAGGGACTACATACATGACTGTAAGTGGTCCACGCCATTACTCTAACCTTGACACTGCAATCACAGAGCTTCTGCAATAATATGACTTCCTTACCTTCTTTTCTAAAATAGGAAAGTACACTGTGAAAGCTAACAAAGGTTGCTTTTCCCCATTTTTTTCCAGTTATAAAGAAATAAGTTCAACAGCATTCCTTTACACTAAATGTATCAAATCAATTGCCTTAGAGTTTTAAACTCAAACAACTTCAAGATGAAATAATGGACTCAATTATATATAACAACATTGCCATTTTACCACTGTGCAATTTAACACAATTAAATTAGGATTTAATTTACTAGACTGTATCCTTTGCTTTGCATTTACTCTTGAGATTTTTTTTTTGGAACTCCTATATGTTTTGACTGAAGAAATTATAACTGGATGTTCAAAACGATAAATATTAGTCTCCAAAGAAAGCAATGTATAAAGTTCAAAACTTCTGTAACAGTTTTTTTTGGCAGTTCTGGGGAATCAAACTGAGGTCCTCACGCATGCCAGGCAAACACTCTACCATTGAGCCACATCCCCAGACCCCAAACCTGGATTTTTTAAAAAATAAATTTATCCAAAAGACAAATAACTTTTGTAAACCTCAAAACACAATTCTTATCTCATTGCAAAATGAGATTGTCAGACCTCTGATATAGAATATAGTCTTTGGAATTCAACAGTTTTAAGGTGGACGAAGAGTTCTTATAATAATTAAGTTTGAGGAGAGGACAAGGCCACACTTCTGGTGGGAAGGGGAGGAGCAGGATGCAGAGCCTCACAACGAAGGTGCAGGGAGCCTGTGAGCCAGTGGACAGGCTGCAGAGCCTGGGGTCTTCTGCACTTGGCTGGTGTACTGGCCACAGGTGCCACCTGCTCATGAGGGAGCAGCCAAAAAGGCATCTTTCCTCCTCAGGCTCCAGAGATAAAGAGGCTCGACCCTGTCTACTGCAAAGATGACACCTCTGCTAGTGACCTTTACCCTTTGCTTTTGTTTTTGCAAGTGSGGAAGGAAGGAAGGAAGCTTTACACAAAAGGTTCCAACAGGAACTGACTGGGAAATGTATCATGGAAATGAGGAGGAAAGGGGAGTGGGAGCTGAGCAAGAGCCCAAATCCGCAGCTGGACCAGAAAACTTTCAGTCTATGGTCCTGTGTGCTGCGGGAACACCGCACCCACCCATGGTGGACACATTCACACAGCAAACACAAAGCCGACTCTCAGAGCCCAGCTTGGCCAAGCAGAGGCACAAAAATCTGTGGGTTCAGAAGAAGGAACAGAGCAGTCAGGCCATGCAGAAGGAACAATGGAAGCGCCAGCGGTGCTACTTACGTGTGCAGGGAAGGGCTGGAGTCTTGTTCTGCTCTCCTCAGGGTGATTTGCTTCTCCCATTGGGAGATATGGTTTCTGACCTGATCCCGTCTCGTACATGGACATGGGCCTACTGCCCCGGGCAGACGGACGTCGCTTTAAGGAAGAGTGGTTGGAAGTGTCTGGGTACTCAGAACCAGTTTGCACCTGATATACATTGGTTGTGGCCTGTTTCCTGAGGTTCGAATTCTCACTCTGGAGTGTTTGAAGCTGAAAGAAATGTTTAGCAGAGGGACTGTGTTTTTCCATAGCAAGCAGACAAAGCAAACATCAAGTGAAAGAACACGATACCAGATCTAAACAATAAGAACAAAAAGGACTAGCTGGATTCAAAGTAAAAGGCAACCACAAACAAGGACTTTTTCTTCCAGAATGAGTGAAATGCAATCAACTTACTTCATCATGCAGTTAATTGAATGGTTTAATTTCTGAATGTGGAAAAGTTGCAATCTGGGCTTTTTAAAAACTAATCACCTCACTACTTAAAATCTGTGATAGCGGGGCTGGGACATGTTTGCAGGCAAGCTGTACTTTGGATTATTTTAAGGTTGGTTCAGCCAAGAGCTTGAGACCATTAGAACATCACTGAAGTAACTTGCTTTCAAATGAGCCCTGAGCAATTGCCAATGCCAAAAATGACAGCAGACACCATGGAAGCAGCACAAAGGTAACTAGAGTTGCTCTGCAAAGCAAGAAGACAGGGAGGCTCAGCTTACAAAAAATCAGATCAGCTACTGCTTTCCAAGAAGCCAACGAGAAAAATCATGATCAACAAGTTTTTATTATATAATAATAATACTCTTGATATTCCAAACAATTCAGCACTTTTTAAAAAAAGTCAGAGGGAACTGGATTATGGTTAAGTTTTCTTTGTGATATGTCAACATAGCAAACTGGAAACCTATGGGACCGTTAGCCTCTTCATAGGAAGGAATGCTCCACGTAGCACACTCGCTCGCTTCTTGGTCATCGGTCATCATTCGGCTGGGGCTGGAGTATTTGGCCTTTCTCTCCTTTGTCTTTGTGACCCAAAAACCACGAGCATGGTGGGGCTGGCTTTGAACATGCTAAGCTGCCTGGCACCACCCCATTCTAGTTAGACACTGTCACTGGAGACCCCAAATGCTCTCTCCACTCCTCACACGCAGGCTGCTTCATGGTTAGGGGATCAGCAAGGAATCCTGGGGCTCTTTAGCATCTGGCAGTTTAAACACAAATAACCGTGGCCATCCTGCACAAGGTCCTTCCCCTCTGGTGCGCCTTCATCCTCCACGACATTTTATAAGCAGGGTGTAGTACAAGTTCAGCTGTCTACTCTTTGACAGAGACTGTAAAATCTGACCAAATTCCCTTCCAGTGCCAGGGTTAAAGTTCATAAGCAACTGTCTCTGCATCAGAAGATCCTTACTCTTCCAATAGCAACCCATGCAGTGCTAGGAGGAGTTACTTTCAATTTCTATTTATAAAGCACCGATCTGGGAAAAACACACCAATAGTGGCTGCTCCTCTTCATTAATTAGCATCCTTTCCAAGCAACTGTTAAATGTGAAAGATCAGATAAAAATCATGCTACTTTGTCAACTCAATAAAGAAAAAATTTCGCCTAGATTTAAAATAAAACAGATTCCACACCTTGGTATTAGCAGTGCCAAACCTCTGTGATAGTGTGGCTAACTGGCACAGGAAGGCCATTCCTTCTCAGCCTCCTTGAAGTACAAGCCATGGAGTGACAGACTGCTTCTACACCACAAAGTCTTTGAGGGGGTAACTTGTATTTGCAATCTTCTTTCCAACAAGAGACATTTGCAAGGTGACAAGCAGCTACGGGAAAGCCTTACATTCTGGGGTACAGATAGGCTTGAGGCACCTGTCAGAACTGAAGAACCTGTGACCTGAGTAGTCAAGGTCCAAAGAATGATCAGCATAAGGACTCATGTCCCAAACATGACTTCGAGTGTTTGCCTATGTGAAAAGCCTCTATTAAGAGTTTTCACAGACTGGGCCTTGAAATCAGATAATTTATCTAAYACTGTTCATGCCTGTGAAACATCCAGCTTAGATTTTGCTGGAATGTGTTTTGAGATGAGCACGTTTCTGGTTTTAATTAAAAAAATTTTAGTGCTCTGTATTTAGAGAGATGTCCTTGGATAAATTTGATGAAGTTTATCTTAGTAAGAATCAGGCTCCAWTTTTTGTTTGGAAGGAGTACAGCAGGAAATAAAAAGTTGAAGATAATTGAACAGTTTCAGAAATCAAAAGCATTTCTAAGAATTGAAGAGATAATCAATGAGTAATAGCAAGTAATTCCACTCTGCATTTCTTAAAGAAGCTCAAGACATTTGTTCTCAGAGATAACAAAGTTATCTCTGGTGATTTCAACAAATACCAAAAGGAACATTATAGAATAAAACAGGTGATGCTTGGAAGACTGAATTACAATGTCAATGTTAGGAATGTTTTAGAAAAAGTAATCTCAAGAAAATTATTAGTCTGATTAATGGGACAAACTATAATCAATTAAACAAATCTTATTTCAGAAAAGGCAAGAGGAAGTGCAAGTCTTGCGTGTTACAGCAAAGGGGCTCCTGGTCTGTCTCAGTCACAGCTGCTCCCCAGCCCACATTGCTGGGAGGTACAGAGCAGTGTCTGTGTTTAAAGGCAAACTGATCTGCAGGTGTTTTCGCTCCCTGCACCGTAGGTTATCAGAGCCACTGATTTCCAAAGTTCTCAAAAAATGTCCCCAAACTCAACACCAAGAGAATCCTAGATCAAACCCCAGAGAAGGTACACAGCAGCTTACTTCCCTAGCGAGGATTGAGTCRTAGGCCTTCCTTTAGGAAGCCACTGAAAAGCACCCAGCCAAAATGAAATACACCTTGTGACCAAGTCTTGAAAATAAATCTGCAACATTATTCCTTAATGACAGTAAAAGACAGATTATAGTCTGCTTTTAATAGTTTCTATTTAAGGGAAGCATTAAAATGTCATTTTTTTGAAGAGAACTGGATGATGGGAGCAATACCCATGAAGTCTGGGCAACATGGAACTTTTCCATTTCCTTCTCTTGGCCTCCTCGTAAAGAATTACATGTGCGAGCCCCCTCTTCAGTGAATGCTTTGCTACTATTGGCCAGACTCCTTTAGAGATTATTGTATTCATATGGTTCTGATTCTCTCAAAAGGTAAGGAATGAGAAAATTCTGAACTGATGGGATTATCTCTTTCTAGTACACAGTTCTTGCTGGTACATGGAGTGAGTGTGTTCTTTTATTTAATGAGAACCTACTCTGTGGCAGGCTCTCCTCTAGGCTCTGAGGATGCTGCAAATAAGGTAGGGATCTGGGGGAGGACTGTCAGGCTGGGGTGGGCTGGGACTAACCTGTGGACAAACATACACATCTGTCCAGGATTTTGGCCTGCTCCATCTCCATGGTGTGAGTACTCTATAGGACCAGCAATAGAAAGAATCAAACCCAAGCAGAGGATCCAGATACCGAAGAAGCACACACCAGGTGTTAGGATTCTTCTACTTGGGGAATTTTCTCTGGCCGTACTCCTAATGAGAGCTATTTCGGTTCAAATATGTAAACACATCCTGCTTCCAAAAAGACAGCTTGGCCCCAAGATTTCTAGGTCTGTTACAGTAACTGTTTTCCTTCCCTCTGATCAAGCATGGTGCCTGGGATTCTTCTTTATACTATGGGATTAGAGAGTCAACCATCCTGTCATTTATTGACATGTTACCTTTTTCTGCATAATTCTCAGCTCGTCACTCAAGTTGTTATTCACCTTCATTAGCTGTTGTATCTTGGCCTCAGAAGCCACTAGAGCGTTTTTGACCTCCATAAATTCCTGTACAGTGACTGGTCCATCTGATAAATCTGAATCTAGGCTCTAAAAATAAATTGGGGAAAATGTTCACAATCTGAGATGATGATAACATTAAAGACTAACAGCTAAAGAATGTCCAATTCTGGCCATGCCAACTGAATTGCAAAATTAAACCAAATCAAGGCTTCTGAGAGAAATGTAAAACTGAAACACAAAAGTAGGGTCACTGTGATACTCAAAATTTTTTCAAGTCAGTATTTTCTAATGGAGCAGTCAGTGGGGCTACTTTGACTGTCTGAGGAGGTTTGTCCTGTCTTGCATACGTTTCTCTTACTCTGTCATTTTCTTCTTTTTTTTTAAACATTTAACTTTTAGTTGTAGGTGGACATAATACCTTTATTTTATTTTTCTATGGTGCTGAGGATGGAACCCAGTGCCTCACCCATRCTAGGCAAGCGCTTTACCACTGGGTCACAACCCAGCCCTGTCATTTTCTTTTTTTATCCATTCTTTCATTAATTCATTCATTCCAACACTTTTTATTGAACATAGGCAATTTCTAAGTGCTTGGGATGTATCAGAAAAGAAAATAAGACAAAGATTCCTGCTTCCATGGTGTTTACATCCCAGCCAGCCACATGACAGAGGGAAAAAATAAAAATAAGTAAATATACAGTACGATTGAAGGTGATTAGTGCTGTAGAAACAGACAAAATGGAGCATGGCAGGGTGCAGGAGCTGAAGTAGGGGTGCAGGTGGGCTGCACATCAGGGAGCTGAGGTAAGCCTTTGAGTAGAGCCTGAGCAGGTGAGGAATCAGTCAGATGGTGTCTGGAGGGAGAGCTTCCAGCTGGCAGCAGAGCTCAGCTAGAGGAAGCAGGTGTGGGAGGCGGAGGGGTGGGAGCCTGCTGGTCAACAGAGRGCCTGTCCTGGAGGGTCCCATCATGGCCTTGGCTTTCACTCAGGGAACTGGCAGCTTTTGGACAGTCTGGCAGAGGTGTCATCTCCATCTGCCAATGGCACTACAATTCTCAGTCATGGAAGACAGAAGACTCCAGACACATGTTCTGTAAGTCCATCTTCCCTCTTTGAACTTCTAGACCCTTCCTGTCTACTTTCCTATTCATGCATTCTCAGTGTCTGCAGAAGATCTCTGAGGGCCAGTCCTGGGGATTCACCAGTGACTGGACTACCCAGGATCCTGTGGTCCTCTCCTCCAGCTCACACTCTGGTGCCTCAGTATCTCCCCCTGAGACTCTTCTAGCCTAGGTGCTGAGGCATCTCCCATCAGCCCATTTGGACTTCTTCAGGAGCATCCTAACTGGGTTCTCTCTCCACCCTCTGACCTTTGTCCTCCTTCCTACCTAAAGTTTCCAAGGCTCTGGACTGCCCGGGAGGCCTTGGCTCTTCAGTCTGGGTGTCACATTCCTCCTGCTGCAGCTCTGAGTCCCGCTCTTTTAGACAGTCCCCTCTTGTGAGCAGCTTTCCTGCAGACACCCCAGGTCTACTTTCTCTTTGCTCAGCATCCTGCCTGGTCTGGCTCACGCCCCTCCTGGGTCTTAGGTTCATGCCAGGAACAAAGCGTCCTCAGCACTGGATCTCTCCTCTCCCCCCTCGGCTTTGCTCCTGTTTGGCCTGACACTTGTTGCTTTGTCATTTTACTGCAGTGATTACTCCTCCCAGGCAGCATCATCCTCATGGGACAGAAACTAGGACTTGTCTGGGAGAGTTATGATCCTGAGAAGGCTCTCARTAAACGCCCGCCTCATAAGCTTCCTCAAGTCACGACAGCAGCGAAGCTGTGACTCGGTTCTTGGCTAAGGGAAAAAGGACCCTGTTCTACAGCCATTGACCTTGTGTCACCTTCACTTGACCTGAGCTGAGAGTGAACCTGACTTTACCTCTACAGCACCTCTGGTAGGGCTCGCCTTTGCCTGACATGGTAGGCAGTTCTGCAGGAGGAAGGTATGTAAAACAAACATATCTGCCCTACTGCATCAGGCATGTCCTCTCACCTTCTGCCGGTTTGCCTTGCTTGCTGTGGTTTCCAAATCTGTGTCTTCATCAGATGCCACACTGTCATAGTCTGGCTGGTCATTGTCTTGACTCTCAATACTGTGCTGGTTATTGATTGTTTTCAGTATGAGCTCCACATTGTCTATTAAGAGAAGCAAATAATTTACTTCAGGCTCAAAACATTTTTTTTAAACTGTTTTTTAGTTGTAGATGGACACARTACCTTTATTTATTTATATGTGGTGCTGAGGATCGAACCCAGTGCCTCACACATGCAAGGCAAGTGCTCTACTACTGAGCCACAACCCCAGCCTCTCAGAACATTTTTTCCCTTCCAAAAAATTACTGGGATGACTTTTTGGCTTAGCCATTTAAAGGTCTGAAAGAAAATAGCAGAATGGTAACATTATGTTTAGACCAATAGAGGGACAGCAGAGAAAAYGATCCACCTCATGGGCAGATGCATGAGGGCCTCAAGCATTCATCTGATTTAGGGGCCCAAGGTGGGCAAATTAGGGAAGCTTAGGAAGGAACTGCCAGGTTGAGGAGGCGGATGCCCAGGCGTGGCTCCAGACCATAAAGATGTAAAATAATGTAATATGATTTGATTCCACTTGCAACATGTCCACAAGGTAAAACTGAAAGTAAACTGTGAAACTAGAACCTGGAAACTAGGTGCTCAAAACACTGGCAGTTAGTCACCAGAATCTAAGGAAGGGGCAGGGAGAGAGTGGACCCAGTAGACAGCCATGTATGCACTATTAGGAGTGTTGATTCCATGGGGAGGGGCAGGGACGATCTAGAGGCTTTGACATATTTGAATAAAAAAATCTCATCTCACAGACTACCCAGGTCTTTCCTGTTTCTCTCAGGCGACTCAGGCTCACCTCTGACTACTAATGTTTTAATCCAGATATCCTGAGGGTTGGTATCTGGGCAATGGATTACAGTTTCTTAAGAGAACCAGGTTCTATTTTAATTTTTTAAATTAATATTTAAAAACTCATAAATATATGTGATTACAGAAGTAATAAAGATTCAACATAGAAGCCAGATGTGGTGGTGTATACCTATAATCCCAGCAACTTGGGAGGCCGAGACAGGAAGATCAGAAGTTTAAGGCCAGTCTTAGCACCTTAGCAAGGCCCTAAGCAACTTAGCAGGACCCTGTCTCAAAGTAAATAAATAACTAAATAATAAACAGATAGTTAGATAGAAGGGACTGGGGGTATAGCTGTATTAAGGCACCCCTGGCTTCAATCCCCAGTACCCAAAACGATAAAAAGACTCAAAATAAAGAATTGGAAACCAGTGAACAAAGAGGACAGAAATTACTCATGGTCATCATTACATGCTAATTTCTCTCTTTCATGTCTGTTTTCTACATATGCACACAGTCAATTCTTGTTAATCTCAGTAGTTAAGTTCTAGAAAGCTGCTGTGAACACTGAGCCAACACCAAACCTCTGCTCCCACGGGAAAGACAGGCTTAGGGCCTTGTGAGCCTCTGGTCACATTTTCACCAACTGATCAACACACAGTTTTGTTTTGTRTGTTTATCTTATTTAATACACACTGTTGAGTCGTAACACTGAACCTCTGACCACCAGCACTCTAAGTCCTTCTAGGACAATACTCACTGAGCATCGTTTTCTCTGGAAGGCACATCTCAGCCTCCTCCTTTTAATGTTTTTCAGTGCTGGGATGGAAACCAGGGTCTCACATGTGGTAGACAAGTGCTCTACCTCAGAGCTACATCCCAACCCTAACTAAATAAACCTCCTTGTCCTTAGAACACTAGATAGCACCCTTGGCACTATGCTTAAGGGCTACTTTTTTTTGTTGTTACCAAGGATTGAACCCAGAGGCACTTAACCAATGAGCCACAACCTTTTTTTTATTTTGAGACAGGATCTCACTGAGTAGCTCAGGACCTTGTTAAGTTGCTGAGGCTGGCTTTGAACTCACGATCCTCCTGTCTCAGCCTCCCTAGCCGCTGAGATAATAGGCACCTGGCACTATATTTAAAATATTAGGCATCCGGGCTATTGTTTTTTTTTTTTTTTTTTAAATCTTATTTTTATGTGGTACTAAGGATTGAACCCAGTGCCTCACTCATGCTAGGTGAGCACTCTACCACTGAGCCATAACCCCAGTCCCCATCCAGGCTATTTTTTAAAAGCAACCCCCCCCCCACACACAAAAAGCACAAAAATGTGAAGAATATGGCATGAAACAGGAGGCAAGGAGTTGCCTGGCTCCACCTCAGCCAGGAGTGTGTTTTAGATGTTTGAAGTTTTTTGCCACTCAGCATATGTTTGAGAATGACCTCGAGGTGCTTCAAGTAGTTAATTTGGGGGTTACAAATAAAGATGAATTTGCAAATATGGACTGTGCAGACGAAGATCAATTGTGTGTGTATTAATTAACATGTGGTATACACTTGCACATATGTATGCATATAAATGTTTTCCTTACAAAACTGGGATTATACTAAACCTTTAAATATTTATTCCTTTATTCCATAGTCTCTACAAAAAAGATGTTTGTATACCATTCAAATATGTAACCAATCACTCTCTACTGATGATTATTTAGACAGTTAAGTTGGGTGTCATACATAACATACATATAACATTTCTGATTATTTCCCTTCAATTAGTGTAGGCACATTTTTCAGACTTCGAATTTATGCAAACTCTTGGCACTGCACCTTCACCAAAACTGAATACACCTTTTTAGAACGTCTTTATTCCTGGGTGACCTGATAAAATCAAACTCCTGAATAAGCAAGAGGAAAGAACAAAATGTTGTTGGATAATGATTCCTATCTTTGGTGAATGTGATACTGGCTAGAAACTTAATTTTTATGGTACATACCTTTTTGTTTAAATGCCTTACAATAAGAAAAGCATAATTTCTATAATTACAGGCAGCAGCAACACACAGTAATGGGCTGCAGAGGAAGCAGATCCCAAGTGCAGAGACAGGCCCTGAGCTACTGCGTGAGACCTGACAGGGCACTCTGGAAACAGATGGTCAGTGTTCTCTTCATAATTTTGAATCATAAACTTCTCACTGCAGACATTTAAAACTGACAGCAACACATTTTAATTTTAGAACTTTAATTTTTAGAACTCAGTTTTGGAGATAAGCAGTAATAGATGAGATATCATTTAATTAGAAGAGTTTCATTTCTTATATCCTTAGTAAGATTTAAGTTAAACTCTTGGGTTAATTTCAGGGTACATTTTTATAGGTAAAGTAAGTGACTCCAAAAGAAAAAAATCATACTTAAGGTAAATATGAAATAGTTGATAATTTTTAAATACCGTTAATTCACCGGGGCTGAACTTCTTATCATACTGTATTACCAATAAAACTTATAAGATTGCAAGCTATGTGTCAATGACTGCTTTGATTCATTTACAATGTAAAATTTTAAAAAAAACTATGCTTTGGTTGTTGATGGACCTTTATTTTCTTATACATGATGCTGAGAACTGAATGCAGTACTCACACATGYTAGGCAAGCACTCTTCCACTGAGCCACAACCCCAGCCCACAATGTAAAATTTAACCCCTGAGTCTTACAAGGCCCCAAAAGCACACAGTTGGAGGTGAGATGCTTACCTTTTGAACCAGAGAGAGGACTGCCCTGCTGTCTCCTCTTGGCATCACTGAGAATGTCAATTACCAGTGTGGCAAACTCATGGGCATTAAACCGAGCTAATTTCTGTCTGCCCTAAGGGTGAGAAGATAATTGGAAATATTCCCCACTGTAAAAATGTAGACATGAACAGCTATCCCAAACTAGTCAGACTACTGACAGGATTCTGCAAAAATCTTCCAGCCCAATCAAAGCATAATCAATCATAGCCATAATCAAATCAAAACATTAGTATTTTCCATGAGACTAGGTTAAAACCATTTATATAAAAAAGTTTACATTTAAATTCTCACAATACATATTTGTTTTTGTGAACAAGAATACAATGGGTTTAGCTGGGGATGCAGCTCAGTAGTAGAGCACTTGCCTAGCATGCTCGAGGCCTTGTTTTCAGTCCCCAGGACCACTTGCCTACCTACCTACCTACCTAAACAAATAAAATGGTTCCACTTAATGCTTTTCTTCCACTAATGATTTAGTTTTTTTTTTTTTAAAGAGAGAGTGAGAGAGGAGAGAAAGAGAGAGAGAGAGAGAGAGAATTTTTAATATTTATTTTTTAGTTCTCGGCAGACACAACATCTTTGTTGGTATGTGGTGCTGAGGATCGAACCGGGGCCGCACGAACGCCAGGCGAGCGTGCTACCACTTGAGCCACATCCCCAGCCCCTAATGATTTAGTTTTGAAGTAGACAGAGTAGTGGAAAATCAGTTTGAAGGAAAATTTCTAAATTTCAAGATATAGTTGTGGTCCAGATGTGGGGGCTCTATCTTTATTTATAGCCACTAATCATAAACACTGAAACACCTTCCTCATTTACTCACTGCTTCTCCTCTTGATGGAGGCTGAAACTACTTTTAATGCTCTACATTTATATATATAGTGATTTGATGAAAATTATTGTGTGTAAATATATTTTAATTTTACTAAGATATTTTCCCAAATGAAGAATTCCTCTGTAAAAGGATATGCTTAATTTTGAGTCTTGTGAGAAACTGGTAAGCAAACTGCTTATTTCTAAAGTTTACAGCAACTTTAAATCCTATCTGTAGCATGATCAAGCTCATCCCACATTGCCAACTCAGAGGATCTTCATTATACATTTGGCTAATCTGCGTTTGGCCTGCTTGCTTCAATTACTAGTAGGGCTAAAGATTTCTTCATGAGCCATTTCTATTTCTTCTGTGAATTGTTTCATATTTTTTTCTAGTCAGCTATTTACATCTTGTAGGAATGCTCTACCACTGAGCTACATTCTGAGACCACCTACCCCCCTGCCTTTTTTTTGGTATTGGGGATTGAACTCAGGGGCACTCAACCACTGAGCCCCATCCCCAGCCCTATTTTGTATTTTATTTAGAGACAGGGTCTCACTGAGTTGCTTAGTGCCTTGCGATTACTGAGGCTGGCTTTGAACTCGTGATCCTCCTGTCTTAGCCTCCGGAGCCACTGGGATCACAGGTGTGTGCCACTGCGCCCAGCCCCAGCCCTTTTTGAGACAGGCTCTCGCTAAGTCACTGAGGCTGGCTTTGAACTTTTGATCCTCCTGCCTCAGCCTCCGGAGTTGCTGGGATCACAGTTATGCACTACTGGTTCTTAGGGCGTTGTGAATTGTGTGTTTATGCATAAAAAGGACAATTTTAATCAATCAAAAAACACTTAAGATACTCATCCTGGAAATATCAAACACCATGACATCAGCCATTCCCCAAATAATACCTCTAATTATTTTTTAAACTGAGCTACTTGCCTGGTTTCGTGTTGATGAATACTCGGGATTGACCGGAAGAAAGGGGACGACAGTTGTCTCGGTTACCAGGGTGCTGTGGTTTTGCGTGGCAAGCCAGACTAGCCAGAGGAAAGAGCCAGAGACAGAATCTCATCACATCTGGGGTGCCACTGCTCTGCTGGGAGGCACGGCTCACGCGTTACTAGGGAGACTTAGGGAAGCACACTCTGAAGCCAACACACGCAAAGGTACACGTCGACACACGAGTTATCAGGACAGTAGAAATTGGGCAAGTAAAACACTGAGGCTGGCAGCTTGTCACTGCCCACTGATAACAGAAGCTTAGTAGATAAAGGCACATGTTAAGTCACCTGCATCAGTCTCTCGCCTGTCAACTTCATCGTACACATCCATGGCAAGTTCTTCAAACAAATGATTACTTAGCTGAAAGTAAAAATATCAGGAACACAAGGGACAACGATTAACACCAGGAGGACGAGAGGGGACTGTGACTTATTCACCCTTTTATCTCCAATGTCTTATTCAAAGCCAGGGCCTAGCAAATGCCCTGTTACACAGACAACATGCCACAATTGTACAGAGCCTCTAGAAGCATCTGCCTCCTGCAGCAGCCTCACTACTCTATGACACCCGGCAGGGTCGCTGCTACGAAAAGGTTAGAGGTGGCTAATCTCGCGCTCAGAGGTGGACCCAGTCCTCTACTCTCCTTGGGGAGCTCCTATGAGTGTCTTCCATCTTGACAGCATTTGTCATTTCCCCAAAATGTAAGGGCTCCTAAACCCCTGGGAGGATTAAGAGGTGAAAACATGCCCTTTGACAGGATAATCTGCACCACTGCACAAAAACTCCAACCAGAACGGGGTGAGGTCTCTTGGCTGTCTTGCTGGGAGCAGTCCTTCAACCCCAGGGCCGAGTGTCCCTGACAAAACACCACCTGACTCATCAATACTCTGAGCAGTGTCAGCTCACAACACAATCACCATAGGCTGAGGGGCCTTACTGGCTGCAGGGACAGGGAGGACAATCAAGGTCTTTCCAACTCAGATGAGGTTAGACCCCTGACAGGTGGCACTGGCTGTCTCCGCACTTTCTACCTCAGGAAACTCACTCTGGCACTTGGCAGTTGTGACTCTTCCCTGCTCTGTGAGGGCAGATGCTCAATTTGTTACATTGCCAACCATCCTCCTCACATCCTGAAGCAGTACCAGATACTTGGCAGGGGCTCAGGAACATCCACTCACTAACCGACCTGAAGGTCTTCTGTGCAGCAATTTAAAATGCCTCCCACAGACACCTCACAGGAAGGAATAGTGAAAGGTATATGATACATTGTTGAGTGAAAAAAGCAGGAGACAAAAGTGTGATACACATGAAATAAGACTTGAAAGAAATACACCAAAACACTGAGCCTGAGTTCACTTACAGGGACTGAGGGTGATTCTCCCCTCTATTTTCAATACCTCTAGCATGGTCACACTGTAGTTACATTAAAAATAAACCCTGAAAGCCTGCTGCTAGATAAGAAAATGAAGGGTTGGGAGCTTGAACTTGCTTGATAAACACTCATCTCTTCCTCCAAAGGACTACAGGCCTTATCATTATTGCTATCACTAACAACAACAGCACTGGTCAACACGGTCAACACTGACTAAGGGCTCACATTCCAGGTACTGTGCTAACAGCGTCCTATTTAATACTTAAAACACCTCCATGAAGATAGGGTTTGCTATTGTCCCATTTTACAACAAAGAAACTGAGGCATAGAAGTTAGTAGCTTGCCTAAAGTCAAAAGCCACTAAGTGCCGGATCTGAGATCCAGGTTTAAGTCTACCAAAATGTTAACATTTACTAATTCAGGAAAATACTGATCTTTGTTTTTCATTAGGGAGAGAGGGAGGTAAAGAGAAAGAAAGAAGAGAGGATGGTAGGGAGGAAAATGAAAGGGAGAAAAAGGGAGGGGAAAGAAGGAAGAAATGAGGGAGGGAGGGAGGAAAGGAGAGAAGGAACAAATGGTGACCCGGTCCAGGTAAGAGCAGCACCTGCGAGGAGCCGGCAGGGCAGGGTCCACAGGCAAGAGGAGCAGCAACCCTTCCTGAGCAGCTCTGCTGAGCACTGCCTCCCTCTTCTGGGGAAGGACACCAAGGCACTGGGAGGCTACRGCACCTTGCCTTGCAGAGAAGTGAACCTGACCCACCTGACTCACAGACCAAGTTCACGAGAGCTCTACTATGTTACTTCCAAGCTTAACGCTGTGTGCAGGATATTAGATACAACTTTAGCTTTCATGCAGCTTCTAGCTGAGCAAATGCAAGAGAGTCAAAGGGAATCTGGGGTTTATCTAGGTTTAAATTAGTTTCAATAAAAATCTGCTCATCTATTATGAACAATTAAAAGGAAAGCACAAAATACTTGGTGCTGACTTCAAAGCATATCATCTTAATACATGGTCTCTTTAAGAAAGGCAGTAAAACACACAGACACACAAAACCGTAGATATAGAACACAGAGACGCCAAACAAATTGCATAAAACACATTTATTTCATAATACAGTTAAGTACTAGTAAGGAAAGGTTCATTTTCTGTRATATTTAATACTTAATGTTATATGAGGTTCTAGAAAAGGGTCTTCTCTGAGAAGGGGAATAGGAGGAAGTCACAAATAGGGAAGCTGCAGTTTCAGAGCTGGGCTTTGGGAAGGCTGCTGCCCACGCTGGGGAGGTGGTCAGACTCCAGCTCCTCGAATGAGAAAGGCAGGGGAGCCGCGCGGGGTAGACACATGGGCAACAGAGGGCCTCAGAAGAGGACGCAAATACAGCAGCTCTTGGTTTCAGAGAGTGTGAAAACACACACACACACACACACACACACACACACACACACACACGGAACCAGGGCAAGGTCTGAAAGGTGAGTTGGAAGATGCCCTTCAAGGTTATGAAAAGAAGTTAAGAGTCTGATTCAGAGAGCAATGAGAGGAGGTCAAGAGTAGAGTAGAGTCTGGGGTTAAAATAGCTGGGAGGCTCCCCTTGAGGCAGCTGGACCAGGGGAAATGGTTCCCAGAGAAGTCAGTCTCCAGGGGACCTGACTACGGCTGGCTGGGCCAGCTGCAAACACACACACTGATCACAGTGAGGCTATGACCCGTGGGGCTCCACGAGCTGTCAGGACACAGTGGGTCTGGACCACCAGCTTTGAAGCACGAATCTGAAAACCTCTGATGAATGGCACAGGATGGGTGAGAGAGTCACCACCGTGGCAGTGAGTGAACCTGCAAACTCACCAGCAGGCCAGCACCAGATTTTGTCATTCCCTGGCATCCAGCACGGCTAGACAAAACTCCAGGAAGGGTGCCCACTTACTCATTTACATGAGAACTAGGCAACTTTCACAAGGAGAAACAACTTCCTAATGTCACAGGCCCTGTCTTTAGTTCTSAACATGACAGAAAAATGGGGATATTTGAAGCAGAGCCTATGAACTAGATATACTGAACTAGATGTACTTTCGGTCTTCATTGCTACATACTCAATGGTCTGCTTCTAATTTATCATCTGAAAGTATGAAATAAAGTAATCTGATGCAGTGGGTAACTTGGACTGAGAACAGGTATTGGCAGAATACACTGATTCCCACACCGGGTTCACAGTAAAGAGATACTCACAGACTGAAGTTTCTTCTTAGCAGCTTTTGCCAATTCAGACAAATCCAGGCTGCTAAGAAAATGTACAAAACTAATAAGCAAATAAATAGAACCATGTTTGTGAGCTCTGTAGATTAAGATACCCAAGGGATGAAAATATTAGTTATAGTTCACGGACACACTGAGTCAAGCATTCTATGGCCCAAAAGAGTTCGTGAGGAAACCAAAACAACATGTCAGAGTGATTCATTTCAGAAGTACAGTAGTCATATCATATATGATAAAGAGAAAAAAATCACCCACCAACTAAATGACAAAAGCTACTGTCAGGTTAATTTCCAGGTCCTTATTATGTGAGGAGTCACAATTATTATCTTTTTGGTACTAGAGATTTAACCCAGGGGTGCTTAACCACTGAGCTATATACCCAGCCCTTTTTCTTTCTTAGAGATAGAGTCTCATGAAGTAGCCTAGGGCCTGGCTAAGTTGCTGAGGCTGGCCTCAAACTTTCAGTCTTGCCTCAGTGTCTGGAGTCACTGGGGTTACAGGCATGTGACACCATGCCCAGCTATAATTTTTGAATTACTAAAAAAAAAAAAAAAAAGAAAAGGCAAGATAGAAGAAAATATGAAAAACGAAAATATGAAAAACTGGAATGGCAAGATTACATCTGGAACAGCAGTTAATCATTTCATAACTCTTGACAGCATTTGTGCAAAGGTAACTGGCTAAATAGGGCTTAAGGTTCATCCCTGTAAGCAACAAACTAATTACAAATCAGGGGTCGACAGATTAAGGCCTACTTTTTGCTTAGCCCATGAGTTAAGAATGCTTTTTTTATATTTTTAAATGATTGGGGGATTAAAAAAAAAGGAAGAACAACATTTCATAAAATATGAAAATTATATGAAATTCAAATTCCAGTGCCTGGAAAAAATTTTTCTTAGACAGACATGCCCATTCATTTAGTGTCCCCAGATGCTTTCATCTAAAATGGCAGAGTTGAGGGGTTGCAACAGAAGCTGCAAGGGGACCTTGATAAAGTTTGCCGACCCGAGTTATAGAAAAAGAATATCATCTCTAATGGTACAAAAATATTTTGTGAATATGATCTGTTGACACAATGTACTATCACAACTGTGTAAAACAGTGACACTGACTCCAATTTCCTTATCAGTAAATTTGTTACTGTGCTCTTTTGAACTAAAGTTTGATAGGTGGTTTACTTACAGACGTCTTATTTCCAAATTGTATAGCCATAAAAGAGAAAAATGTATGGGCTTTGTTAAACACAAAAATATGATATATTTAAATACTATATTACCGAGGAAATACTGGGGGCAGGTACAATTGATTGATCTTTTGAGGGTCTTACCTGTCTGCCATTTGAGGTATTATAAAGTGCTGTCCGTTTTTGTGATCTGAAACAAAAACCAAAGTTTTGGTCATATAAAATATGAATAGGATCTATAAAGGAATACCACCATTATTTTCTCAATATAAGCTTCACAATTAGCATTTTTTTTGTAATTATGAATCATGTGGGGAAAAGAAGTTGCCGGATTGGCTATAAATTCCTGAGGACATGGGTGGTACGGAGGATACAGTCTTGTTTTCCTTGGTGTGCAGGTCTAGACACCCAGTAGAAGACAATGCTCACTGTAAACCTTAGGCTTGTTCACCCCAGGGTGAGCGATGGTCCTGAGCTGTGGAGGAATGCTGAGGGGGTAGAATTAGCTCACAGCAGGCTTCTATCACTTCACTGTGTGGGACYCTGGTGCTTCAGTGAGCTTTGGTAGCTTCTTCACATTATTGAAGACAGGGCTTGGGCAGGTGGCCTTTGCAGACTCAGAGAGAAATTCCATCTCCCAAGATGCTGACTGACTTGGTCCTATTCTAGCTTTGGAGGATGCTGGTCCACATTCCAACAAATAAAGCTGTTATAGGCATCTACACAGGCTTTTGTGTAAGTTGTATTTTTCTTGAGTAAATACCTAGGAAGGGACTGCTAGGTTATATGGTAAATGTGTGTTTAACAGGGTAAGAAGCCACTAGACTTTTTCCCAGAATAGCTCTTTTATTGTGTGTGTGGTGCTAGAGATTGAACCCAGAGCCACTCTACTGCTGAGCTACATATCCAGCCCTCTTAAAAATTTATTTTATTTTGAGATGGGTTCTTACTAAGATGCCCAGGCTGGCCTTGAATTTGAGATCATCCTGCCTGAGTTGTTGGGACTGCAGGCATGTGCCACTACACGGGGCTAGCTCTATCATTCTGTATTCCAAACAGCAACCTACGAGAGTTATGGTTGCTCTAGCTCTTTCCCAACACTTGTATTGTCAATTTTAGGTTACTTTGTTTTAAAAATTTTAGTCATTCTAATAAGTATGCTGTGGGACCACATTGTGGTCTTAATTTACATTTCCCAATTGGCTAATGATTCTGAGCTTATTTCTTTGTGCTTATCTCTTTGCCACCTACATACTATCTTTGCCCAAGTTTCTCTCCTTTCTCCTGGTGTCTGTGTTCTTAAGGCTGGTACTGTCTCAGCTTCCAAAGTACTGGGACTGCAGGTATGTGCTACCACATCTGTCTCTGCCCAAGTTTTTATTGGGCTGTTTTTTTTCTTACTATTGAGTTTTTTTTTTTTAAGAGAGAGAGAGAATTTTTTAATATTTATTTTTTAGTTTTTGGTGGACACAATATCTTTATTTTATTTTTTGCGGTGCTGAGGATCGAACCCAGTGCCCTGCTCATGCCAGGCGAGCGCGCTACCACTTGAGCCACATCCCCAGCCCCTTACTATTGAGTTTTAAGAGTGCTTTAAACATTCTAAATACAAGTTCTTTCATTTTGTTTGTGGGCTGGGAAAAAATTCTGGGCTTACACATCCTATCCCTTAGATACATATTTCTTATTGAATATGTGATTTCCAAATATTTTCTTCCAGACTGTGGCTTGTTTTTTTCATTCTCTCAACCACAAGTTTTCTCAGAGTAAGTGTTCAATTTTGATAAAGCCTTCCACTGTGAGCTATATTCCCAGTCTATTTTTTTTTAATTTTGCTAATGCATTTATTAGGACATTACAGCTATACATAGTAGTGTGGTATATTTTGACATATCCATAGATGCATATAACACAATTTGCTCCCTTTCAATCCCCAGTACTTCCTCTTTCCCTTCCCCCCTTTACCTGATCCCCTTCCTTTATCTACTGAACTTCCTTCCACTTATTTGTTTTTTTAAATTGATACACTGTACATAAAAGTAGAATTTATTGTGATACATTCATACATGCACATAGCATAGTTTGTTCAATTTTATTCCATGGTTCCTCCCTTTCCCATCCCTCCTCCTCCCTCTCTCTCCTTCTTCTTCCATTCTATTTTCATGAGATCTCCTTCTTAAAAACTCCTTATTTTTCTCTAGCTTCTACACATAAGAGAAAACATCTCACTCTTGAGTTTCTTATTTCACTTGGCATGATATTCTATAGTTCCATTCATTTATCGGCAAATGCCATTATATCATTCTTCTTCTTCTTTTTGTTGTAGTGCTGGGGATTGAACCCAGGGTCTTGTACACACTAGGCAAGGCTCTACCACTGAGCCACATTCCCAGCTCAAGTTCATGCTTCTTTACGGCTGAATAAAACTCTATTGTGAATATATAGGTGACATTTTCTTTATCCATTCGCCTGTTTTTGGGCACTGAGGCTGGTTCCATAACTTGTCCATTGTGAATTGTGCTGTTATGAACACTGGTATGCATGTTTCAGTTATATAGTTATATAGCCTATGCTAATTTCAGTTCTTTTGGATAAATACCCAGGAGTGGGACAGCTGGGTCATATAGTGGTTCTAATTCCAATCTTCTGAGGAATCTCCATACTGCTTTCCAAAGTGGTTATACTAATCTTCAGACCTAACAACAATACAGAAGTGTAGCTTTCTCCACATCCTTGCCAGCAATTATTGCAATTTGTGTTCTTGATGATTGCCATGTTAACTGGAGTGAAAGGAAATCTCAATGCAGTTTTGGTTTGCACTTCCCTGATTGCTAAGAAGCTACATTAATCAAAACAGCCTGGTACTGGCATAAAAATAGCCATGAAGACCAGTAGAATAGAAGACAGCGACAAATCCCAGAGATAGTCATCTGATTCTTTTTTTTTAATACCTTTATTTTGTTTATTTTTTATGTGGTGCTAAGAATTGAACCCAGTGCCTCACACATGCTAGGCAAGTGCTCTACCACTGAGCCACAATGCTGGTCCCCATCATCTGATTCTTGACAAAGTGTTAAAAATATAGGTTGGAGAAAAGATAGCCTTTTAAACAAATGGTGCTGAGAAAACGGATATCCATGTGTAAAGAACTTGCTCTCTCAACCTGCACCAAAGATCAATTCAAAGAGGATCAAACACCTAGGAATTAGACCAAAAATAATGGAACCGCAGTTAGAAGAAAACTAACGCAATGGTCAGGCACCATTCTTCCTGAATAAGACTCCTAAAACTCAAGAAATAAAACTGCGAATCAATACATTGGATGGTCTCAAATTAAAAAGCTTCTGCACAGCAAAGGAAACAAGATGGTGGTAACAGATCCCCCAGGATGAAAACAAATCTTTGCCAGCTATTTTTCTGACAGGGGATTAATATCCAAAATATATTAAGAACTCAAAAAAAAAAAAAAAAAAACCACCAAAAACCCTCCAAATAACCCAATCAATAAGTGGGCAAATTAGCAGATATTTCTCCAAAGAATAAATACAAATGGCYAACGAATACATGAAAAAATGTTCAACATCTCTGGTTCCTGTTTCTTACTAATGTTTGATTTTGTTTTATTTTATCGATATTCCCATCTGTATATTCTTCCTTTTTTGCTAGTATGGCTAGACATTTATCAATTTTACTGATCTTTTCAAAGAATCAGCTTTCGGTCTCATTAATTTTTCTGCTTTCTTTCCTCTTTCGATTTCACTGATTTATGCTCTTTATCATTTCTTGCTTTCTTCCTGCTTTGAGTTTATTTTATTCATCTTTTTCTAGTTTCTTCAGGGGGAAACTTTTGATAGACCTTTCTTCTTTTCTAATACAAGAATTAAAGGTTATAAAATATTTTTCTAAAGCATTATTTTTGTTGTATTCCACAGATTTTGATAGGTCATGTAGTTGAAAATATTTTCTGATTTCCCTCAAGACTTTCTTTTAGACACATGGATTATTTAGAAGCATGTTGTTCAATTTCCAAGCACCTGAGATATTACAGTTTTATTTTCATTATCCCTTTCTAGCTTAATTCCATTATGATCAGCAAATATATTTCGTAGTATTTTAAATCTTTTAGATTTGCTAAATTTTGTTTTATGACCTAGGATATGGTTTCCCCTCTTAAATGTTCAATGCATACTTGAAGTGTGGGTTCAGAATTCTGATGTTGGGTTCAGAATTCTAAGAATGTCAATTAGATTGAGTTGATCTTTCATTTGGTTTAGATTTATATCCTTACTGACTTTCTACCCACTAGTTCTACTTATTGTTCAGTCTCTAACAATATTTGTGGATCTGTCCTTTTCTATCAGCTCTATTGAGGTCTGCTTCATATAACTGGAAGCTCTGTTGCTGGTTATGGACAATTTAGACTTATGTCTTGGTGAACTGACCCTTTGATCATCATTTTATGTTCTTTCTATCTGAGGTCTACTTTGTCTGACATGAATACATTCTCTCTAGCTGTCTTTGACTTATGGTTTGTATGGAATGTTTTTGTAYATCTTTTGGCATTTAATTTTATCATTATATTTAGAGCAGGTTTCTTGTACACAGCATATAGCTCAATCTTTTTTTTTTAAATTGGTGTATTTAGAACATTAATGTAATTATTGCTATATCTGGATTTACGCCTATCATTTTATTATTTATTTTGCTTGATTCTCAGATTTCTGTTTTCCCCTTTTAATTTTTTTTTTTATGGCGGGGGGGTGGGTGGGTGTAGGGGTAGGGATTTTGCTATGTATGTTGCCCAGGCTGGTCTTGAACTCCTGGGCTTAAGCAATCCTCCCAGCTCATCCTTCTAAGTAGCTGGGACTATAGGATAGCCATACACCACCATGCCTGGGTTAAACATTTTCAATCAAAATATCTTTTGACCATCCGAATAATTTCTAACATTCCATTTTAGTTTATCTTTACAGTTTTTGACAACTTTTCTCTTTTAAGTGGTTATGCTAGGGATTACAATATATTTACTTAACTTCTCACAGGCTACTAAGAAATAATATTTTACCATTTTAAGTACAATGTAGAAATATTATCATCGTATTTCTTTATTCTTTCCCTTTTCCTCCTGTGGCACGATACTGACATATTCTATACATCTACCTGCTAATCATGTCTTTTAACTCTCACATGTACTTATAGAATTTAAGAGAAAAACACAATCCATTATATTACCTTGGTACTTATTTCTGCTGATCTTTTTCATTCTTGAAGTTCCAAGATGCTCTTTGGTATCATTTCCACCCAAAAAATATTCCCTAGAATTTCTGTTAGCACAATAAATTATTATTTTACTTCACCTTAGAATGTCTTTATTTTGACTTCAAAAGGTCATTTGCATTGGATATAGAGTTCTGGATTGACAGTTTTTTTTTTTTTTTTTTTTTCTTTTTTGGTACTGGTGACTGAACCCAGGAGTGCTGTCCAATTGAACTACATCCCCCAGTCCTTTTAATTTTTATTTTGAGGAAGGGCCCCACTAAGTTGCTGAGGCTGGCCTTGAACTTGTGATCCTTCTCTCTTAGCCTCCCAAGCTGCTGGGATTACAGGTGAGCTCTATAACATCCAGTAATAGTTTCTTTCTCTCAGAGCTTTAAAAATATTTCTGCATTTTCTTCTCATCTTCATTGTTTCTGATGAGAATAAGGATGACGTTCAAAAAGTTTGGTGTTGTGGGACATTCTGATTACAAATACTTAATTGGTGAAATCTATGCAAATATTCCCAAATCTAAAAGCTTCCAAAATCAAAAACATTTCTGTCCCAGATAGTTTGGATGAGGGATGCTTAAGCTTTAAAGTGTGTTGGATTTTTTTTTTTTTTTTCTGGCTGCAGTCAAGAAGGTTCCTCTAAAATCTTAGCTTTCTGCAGTTTGGTTTTGAAGTTCCAAACATGGCTTTCTTTCAGTTCATCATCTTGGGGGTTTGTTGAGGCTCTTGAACCTGTAAGTGTCTTTGACAAATTTTTAGAGTTTTTGGCCAATATTTCGTCAAATATTTTTTTCTGAACAACAGTCTTTCTCATCTCTTTTTGGGAGTCCAATGATACCAATGTCAGATCTTCTGGTACTTTTTGATTCGTCTCTGAGGCTCTGTTCAGGTTTTTCTTCTTCCCACTGCTTTTCCAATTGCTCAAACTGGATAATTTCTAGTAATTTATTTTCAGTTTGCTCACTTTTTTTTTTTGATATCTCTCAGCTGCTATTAAGCCTACTCAGTGAGTTCTCTTACCTTTTTAGAGCATGGTTTTACCAGCTTCTTTAATAGGTGATAATTTCAACACCTACGTCACCTTGGGGTTGCTAAATTGACTGCTTTCCTGAGATTTGGTTCTTCATCAGTTCAGTCTCTACAGATGGTACTTGGATATTTTTAATATTAAGTTGTGAGACTCTGGGCCTTCTTTAAACTCTATGGAGAATGTAAACATTTTGTTTTAGCAGGCAGAGCAGGTTGGGTTCTGCCTGTGGGGCAGGGTGAGAGAATGGGGAGAAAAAGAAGAGCAATCTAGACTTCCTAATGCCTCTATCAGACATTTAGGCAACTGTGTACCCACAGGATTGCTCCTGGGATGGGAAGGAACAGAAAAAGGAAAGAAGAAAAAAACCCCAGGGGAATCCCCTACTCTTAGTCCCATTTACTGCTCTTTAGACCAGAAAGAGAGGGCTTCTTTGCACTCATTATGCAGTTCCAGGTCTCAGGTTGCCACTCACTCATATCAGAAGTAAAACAAACAGGACCCTCAATACCAGCTTGATGGCACTTCAAGTTCCTTAATCCACCACTTGGATTTTACTTACTCTTCGGAGTCCTTAGAGAGCTGCCCTGAGCATTTGGTCCAGGGTTTTTAGTGCCAATCCCCAGGGGACAGGATGGGGTGTACTCCATCTTACTCAGTGGTGAAACTGCACCAGGGGCTCTTAACTCTACTGAACAACCAGGGTGGATAACCACCATGGACATGTATGTGGACATTATGATCAGGCATTGGCAAACTATGCACAGCTCTGAACAGTAAATATTTTAGGCTCTGTGGTGTCCTGTGACAATACATCCTATTCAACTCTGCCATTGTTCTGTGAAAGCAGCCACATACAAGATGTGAGTGAGCTGGTCCGTCTAGTTTGCAATTAAACTTTTTTTTCGGCAGGGAGGGTGGGTACTAGGGATTGAACTCAGGGTTACTCAACCACTGAGCCACATCCCCAGGCCTATTTTGTATTTTATTTAGAGACAGGGTCTCACTGAGTTGCTTAGCGCCTTGCTTTTGCTGAGACTGGCTTTGAATTCACGATCCTCCTGCCTCAGCCTCCCGAGTTGTTGGGATTACAGGTATGCACCACCATGCCTGGCTTGCAATTGAAGTTTAATGAAACAGGTGACAGGCTGGGTTTGGTTTACAGAACATAGTTTGCAGATCCCTGTTCCCTATCACAAATAAGATGATTAGRTACAGGTAAAATCACTTTTGGACTTTTTTCTGTCCTTAGCAGAATTCTTCAAATCAGTATAAAAGTTGTTGTTTTGCTCTTCCTTTGCTAGTTCCATGACATTCAAGTACTGTGGAGCACATTCAACACTGGGATGATTATGCTCTTTGATTCTGGAGAAGCCACTTCTCCAGAGCTAAAAGGAAGTTTTACAAACTAAAAGTTCAAAGAGATTTAACCAACTTTGTATCTTTTACATAGAGCTGAAAATTCAACCATCATCTTTTCCTATAAAGAAATTACTCCCAATTTTCTGAAGGACATTAAAGAAGAGGAGGTCATAAAAAATAGTGTCCTGTTTTGTTTTCCCAGAACCTTCCAGAGTGGAGGTGTGGTGAGGCCGTTAGCCTTTCACTCACCAGGTTTCCTGCCGCAGAGATAGAAGGCCAGTCTGTCTGTTAGCTCGTACTGTATTTCCACAAGGCGTTCTGCCAGCTCATGGTGCCCTCCTTGCCTACCAAGAGAAAACAAAGTACCATTGATATCGCTCAGGATTCACTGGCTGGAGAGTAGGAAAGTACAAAGACGTCCCCTGAGATACCTGAGCAGCTTAACAAACATGACTTTTTAGAATAATCAACCTTTTTTTTTGGTGAGGTAGATTGTTAAGATCTACTTTGAGTCCTATTTTTATAAATTGTTTATAAAACAATTTGAACTATCCATTTCCTTTATTAATACACAAAACAGAATACTTAATGGGAAATTCAAAGACTCATGAAAGATTTAAAGAAAGAGGTTCCAAAAAATTAATTGGAGAGTTTCTAGAAACATACAATGTCCAGACCTCATCCTTGGAAATTCTGAATCATAAGACTGGGATGGGCCTGGGCATCAATATTTTGAAGAAGGTCTTTCCCTTGGATGATTCTGAGGCAGCCAGTCTACCTCTGGATGACTCTAGAAACCACTTCTAGAGCTACAATTTAGGCAGAGACAAACCAACCAAATGCAAAGCTCAGATCTAAGCTACTTTTATCTTTTTCTTCCTTTGCCTTTCTTCAGTCATGAAATAAATATTGAAGCTACTTGGAATCCTTTTAGTAACAACACTTATAAATAAATTATTAGATTGAAAGACTATTATATGTGAGGTTTGTCTGAGGAAATTCCAAAGTAAATGATAAAGTACTTAGTGCAGACTCTTTCCCTCTTCAAAGATCAAATCTAGTTTCAACCAGTTTCTTTTTCTACTATTCAAAAAAATTATAAAATACTCTAACTTACCACACATCTTTGATTTATTTTTACCATGCCTATTTCTTTTGTTTCACTTTTTAAAAATTTGTTCTTTTGTTAGAAATACGTGAYAGTAGAGTGTGTTTTAACATACTGTACCTACAAGGAGTATAACTTATCCTAATCCGAATCCCATTCTTGTGGTTGAACATGATGTGGAGTTTCACTGGTCGTGTATTCATGTATGAACATAGGAAAGTTACGTCCAATTCATTCTACTGTCTTTCCTATTCCCATGCCCCTCCCTTCCCTTCATTCCCCTTTTTCTAATCCAATGAACTTCTCTTCTCTCCCCACCTTTATTGTGTGTGAGCATCCACATATCAGACAGAACATCCGGCCTTGATTTTTTTTTTTTTTTTTAGCATCAGCTGATGTCAATTAGCACGATAGCTTCCAGATCCATCCATCTACTGGCAAATGCCATAATTTCATTCTTCCTTATGGCAGAATAATATTCCCTTGTCTATATTTACCACATTTTCTTTATCTATTCATCTGTTGAAGGGCACCTACATCACATATTTTTTCTCATTTTAAAAAATCTGTAAATCACAAAACATTCTATAACCGATGGTATGTGATAATCTAACTGGCAGAGCTTTTTTCTTTTTTAGTGCCATATGAAGTAATGATGCACTGTAGAATCAATGAAGTTGCAGGTCTGATGAAGTATTGTATTGCTGTGGTCATTCTCACATGTGTCTGGATGTCTTCAGTAGAGTCTCCAGCTGTGCTGAATGTGCCTGTCTGCCCATCTCCAGACCTTGACTCTGCCTTCCCCTTCCCTGGATCAATGTAGTTCCTCATTTGCATGCCCACATATAACCCATTCTTTAACTAAAGGAATTTCCTAATCTTTTGGGCCACAATGAGGAAAACTTAAATATGCTCTTTAAGACCTATTGTCCATTTTGCCAATGAATCACATATTATTTTGCCTCAGTGAACTCTTTCAGATACTTATAAATCATCTCTTCCAAGAGACAATAAATTCTGGGAGGACAGAGTTTATTCATTTATCCTCATTTACTCTCTATGTAGCAAAGTATGGCACTTTGCAGTTAATAAAAGAAATTTGAAAAAAGAAGGAAAGATGATTGATCTTCTATCATTTAAATGATACTCAAGGCTAACTGATGGATTACTTGTTTTTCAGCCTTTCACAACCTTTAAATAAAGAAAAATTACAAGGATTTTACAGTGAGAACTCAGATGTTCTATCTAAAAATTACAACTAAACATTTATTACATTTGTTTTATTACATATGCATGCATAAATTTGCTTTTCAGTTCAAGCAATGATTAAGAATATTAAAAAATTGAGACAGGTATGGTGGTACAAGCCTGCAATCCCAGCTACTTGGGAGGCTGAGGCAGGAGGATCCTAAGTTTGAGGTCAGTCTCAGCAACTGTGATTCTGCAATCTGTATTTGGGGTAAAAATGGGAGTTCATAACTCACTTGAAACTAATGTTTGAAATATGATATGTCAAGAGCTTTGTAAGGTTTTGAACAACCAATWAAAAAAAAAAAAAAAAAAAAAAAAGACCCTATCTTAAAATACAATAAAAAAAGGGCTGAGGGTGTAGCTCTGTGATAGAGTGCCCCTGCATTCAATCCCCGGTACTGCAAAATAAAACAAAGAGTGGGTCTCTAATTCATGATACCTGATTTGCACTCTAACTATGGCTCAAATAGCAGGCATGGTAAAGGACCAAGTTAAAGACTAGAAGCTAAGCACATGAGTTTTATGATTCTACACTTCCATGATTTTGCCAGGCTACTCTTTTGCCTTTTTTCTGCAAAATAATAGAATATAAATCTTCAAAGGGGCTAAACATTAATCATACACAACTCATGACTCATACCGAACACACAGAGAAATGTCAAGAATCTGTTTCTTTTTTTTTTTTTTTAGTAGCTGATGGACCTTTATTTTATTTATTTATATGTGGTGCTGAGAATAGAACTCAGGGCCTCACACATGTCAGGCAAGTGTGCTACCGCTGAGCCCCAGCCCCAGCCCCAGCCCAAGAATCCCAGTTTCTTACCTTGCATAATCAACAGGAGTTTTCCCACTAGAATCATGTGTGCCTGGGTCTGCTCCATATACTGCCAATAATTCAGCCTGTAAAATCTGCCCTGCTTTGGAGGCAACATGGAGTGGGGTGTTTCCTTTTTCCTAAGAATAATTAATAAAAAGTTGTCAGAAAAGCAAATTAGACAAACTAAAGGCTATTTGAATACAATTCAGTTTCAATTTAATATCTGAAGCAATTCACGTTTTCTTACAGGATGAAAGAAATTGGCTTGGGCTCCTAAAGACAACAGTCTCAGACAGGTTTCAAGATTTCCAGTTCTCACACTTGAATGAAGTTGCTGAAAAACACATAAACAAAAAAGAATTTTCAAAAGCACCAGGAATGAGATAGTAGAGCAGCTGGTAGACTATTTTAACATACACAGCTTTAATAACACATAATCTTTATTTGGCTCAGTACCCTTTGCTGGTTACAACCATTCCTGAATTGGAGGGTAGATCAGGTTGACCTGCCCAAATGCAGGACTCATTCAAACAAGTGGCAAAACCAGAACCTGAGTGAGAGACAATATGAGGAGGATGGTTGAATGTGGCTTTGAAGTCTGACAGACCTGAATTTCAATCTCTTGCCCCTTCAACCTGTAGGATTTTGAGAAAGTTCCTTAAGTAAGTTGACCCTCAGTTTCCTCATCTTTAAAACAGTGATAATAGCCAGCCATGGTGGTACACACCTATAATCCTAGACAGAGGCTTGGGAGGCTGAGGAAGGAGGATTAAGAGTTTAAAGCCAGCCTTGGCAACTCAGTGAGGATGTAAGCAACCTAGTGAGAACCTGTCTCAAAATAAAAAGGGTTGGGGATGTGGCTTAATGGTTAAGCACCCTTGGGTTCAATCCCTGGTACCAAAAAAAAAAAAAAAAAAAAAAAAAAGGAGTGAGAATAATGCTACCTATTGACAAGGTTATTGTAAAGATTCAGTGATATGCTATGCAAGTTACAGGACTCTGCCTTACACTGTACCCCCTCCACAATGCTATTCCTGGCTTATACACAATGATTTCCAGAAGTCTCTCAGGGTGGTAAATAGGGCTGTGACACACAAAATTCTGTACTATTGCAGAAAAGTTCATCACCAGTAAGAAGATGAGCTGACTTCCTTAAAGGCTCTAAGATTCAATAACCCTCATCATAGGAATGGAAAAACTACTCTAGCACTCCATTCAAATACCTTTATTTTTTTTGAAAAGCTGGTTAAAAAGAAAACCCCCTGAGTCTTATTAACTAGAGGAAGTAACAATTATACACTTCTATGCAAAATTTAATATTCTGAACTGTGATCATCGCCCCTGCTCCATGCAGTGAGATTTGTCAGAAACAATGTTTTGAGAATACAGATGTGCATTTCTTATGGCAKCCCTCAAAAACATGCTGAAGCCACATAAAGAAAACCATCCACTCATTCCACAAGTATAATGAACGATTCTGTGTGCTACAACTTTGGGTCACACCCTATTTTCTGAAGACCATTCTTACTGCTCAACCTGGAAACCCGAGGAAGTTAGCCCTGTCTTTACTATGTTTTTCTAGTACTTATTAGAAACAATGGTTTAAATTTTTTTCAGTCCCTTCTAGAAACAAATTTTGAGATGGCTCCAATTCCAAACATAAATAAAAATTTATCAAAATACAGTTTAAAAACCATATTGAGGGCTGGGGATGTGGCTCAAGCGGTAGCGCGCTCGCCTGGCGTGCGTGCGGCCAGGGTTCGATCCTCAGCAYCACATACAAACAAAGATGTTGTGTCCGCCGAGAACTAAGAAAAAATAAATAAATAATTCTCTCTCTCTCTCTCTCTGTCCCCCTCTCACTCTCTCTTAAAAAAAAAAAAAAAAACCATATTGAGAAAACAAATAGCTTTGCATATACTTATTTCTCCCCTTTACCTTTGTACCCCATTACAATAAATGGCTTCCACTCGAATTAAAATTAGAGATGAAGCTAGGCGTGGTGGGGCAAGACTATAATTCCAGCAGCTCTGGAGGCTGAGGCAGGAAGATAACAAATTCAAAGCCACCCACAGCAACTTAGCAGGCCCCAAGCAACTTAGTGAGATCTTGTCTCAAAATAAAACACAAAAAGGTCTGGAGATGTGGCTCTGGGTTCAATGTTGAATCCCCAGTATTTAAAAAAAAAAATTAGAGATGAAACTGATTATAAAAAAAAGCTGATACTGATTATTTAATGTACAAAAATGAGGTTTTTTTTTCCCTTTTGAGCGCCCCCCTTACAAAAATAACAATATGCTGTCTCATCCAGATCTCTTAGGGACTTTCAAAAGGTTATGACCCACCTTACTAAGATCTTTGGCAGTCACACTATCATCATCCCGGCAGGGTAAGCGGTGGACAAACGCTAACATCTGATACTTGGCTCTGATGAATTCTGCTTTATTGGGACTGGTTCATAAACAAAAAAGAAAACAGTTCATTCACAGTTCAGATACAACATTCCCCATTCTTTACACTGTAAAAAGAGAGGAAGTGGCCCACATCCCCCACTAAGTGAACAATGCTGAAATAAGTTTCAGGAGCAAGACCTGAAGTCTGAAAACACACATTAGTCATAATGACTGGGACTGCAGAATACCTGCTTTTTATAGCAGTTTTCTTCTCTGTGTAATTTTCTCAATTGATTGCAACCCAGGGAGGAAGTGGCATTTAGTCTCATCTTATAGGTGAGGCCTACGGCAGACTGGTGCCCAGTGCATAGATTTCTGATCTGCTTGCCTCTTGCTTGAGTGCTGAGGTTTCAATTTGATTACATCTATAGCCTCCAAGTCATGGTCTCCAACTGGAGTAACCATTAACTCCTGTCCAGTAATCATGCAAAACAGACGGTCCCCACCTGCCTCATTCTGAGTTTCTACCAGCAAAGAGCCTATGTGCAACTGGGGTAACTACCTCCTGCACTGCCCTGGTGGAGGCTGATCAAAAATAGCTGGACTCCATTTAGTGGGTCCCATTTGTTATGAAGAAGTAGAAGTATTTATAAACATTCCACTCACTGTACTTTATCCTGTGGATTAGCTTTACGTCTTCCACTCGTAATGGAGGCAGGGTCCAGTAAAGAATGCTCCCATATAGAATTTGCACCATTGTTATATAAGGTCTCAACCATCTAAAATCAAGCAGTATGAAATCATATTTTAATTTTTTTACATAAATATTAGAAGAGAATCAGTGACAAGTAGAAAACAAAGCCCCTATACATATACTAAGATGTTTTGATTATTACTCATGTTATTGTTTTCTGATTTTAGAATGAGAAAGATGAACCTGTATTCAGGATCCAGTTTTGACCAGCAGGGCAGTTAAATCTTTAAATGGGTTTGACTGTACTCTAGTCATATATTGAGGGATGAGGAACATTTTAGGGCAGTGTTTCCCAAGCCTGAACAAATACTATTTTACCCACATATTAGCTAYACTAGTCACAACATTTTTCTTTAAATCTGCTCATTTTCAAAATTTATATTGATAATTATGGTATATGTGTTAGTTACAGTTTTCTCATAACACAACTATACAAATACATATTGGATTATGACCTACATCTGTCTTGAGTACCACTGATGGCTATGGTCCATATTTTGGGAATTATTGCTTTAGAATCAACCCTGGCATTTTAATTAAAATACTCATCTCTGAACTTAATTCMGATTCTATAATATAGTATGGCTTTGTAAACGCAGACCTGGGTACAGTATACAATCCCTTTCATAGGACAATGGGCTACTGGAAACTTCTAAGCAAAAATTATTAATAATTCACACCTCCCAATTTCATCTCAAAGCAGACTCCTAAAATGTTTCCATCTTCTTTTTATATTCATAGAGATATTTTCACATCAGAGATCCAAACCTATTTGTTTGTGCCCCTTGGTTCGTGCAAGCAAGTTTAAGGGCTATGCAGCTGCCACAGATTTAGTGATGTGTACTCAAGACAAATGAAGGCAAAAAGCACACTTAATCTTAAGTTCCAGGAGAACTTGAAGAATGTGTACCCCATATAAAAGTACATGTAACATGACATCAGACCCCAAATAAGACAAAGAGSCCACTTAACATTCAATAAAGTGTTAGGCATGCAATCAAAACACATTAACTTAATTTGGTCTGATTAGTAATGACAGCTTCAAAAAACGTAAATAAGACACTTCAGAAATTTCTAAAGAACCCCAGTCCTCCTATTAAAGAAAAAAAAAAAGTTCTAAAGATATTAGCAGGTACTCAGGATTAGGTAAAGTAATGAAAAGTTTTTCAGGCAGCTGCTTTTGGAAACATTCTTTATGGTAGTAGTTGAAAAGACGGGTTATTTAAAAATAATTTCTGGGGATAATCTAGAAGGTCAACAGTGAAATGTTACTAGAAAATTTTAATTTTTATCTATCTATAATTGAGCTTTTGGAACAAGATTTATGTTAGGAGTGGAACAATCTTAAATGATAAATTCAATATGGAGAGTACTTATACTCTATATTAATGGGCAAAAACCTCTATTGGATTATGATCCAAACATTTTATAAGATTTAAGAAGTATACTAGAAAAAGTATGCATAGTGGCATAAGCCTGCTACCCCAGCTACTTGGGTTGGTGGGGCAGGGGGATTGAAAGTTCCAGGCCAGCCTGGGCAACTTGGCAAAATCCACAGGTTAAAAATATATATATATATGTGTGTGTGTGTGTGTGTGTGTGTGTGTGTATTTATTTATTTATTATTTTAAAAAAATATTTGTTTTGTTAGTTATAGGTGGATACAATTATTATTTCATTTTTATTTGGTGCTGAGAGTAGAACCCAGTGCCTCACCCGTGCTAGGCCAGCCCTCTACCGCAGAGCCACAACCCCAGCCCTGTATGTGTATTTATATATATACACACATATATACATATACACATAAACATTTATTTTAGTTGAGAAATTTTATTTGCTAAAACATAAATTACAAACTGTGTTCTTCTTACCCCTTACCTGAAGCAGTGTTGGAGGCCACGGTGTGTGTTTCAGATGCCTTACTTGGGAGATATGACGCCCTAGACTCCGATGGACACTGCAACACTCATCACATATGAAAATTCCCCTATTTACTGATGCCCAGGAAGGATCTGGAAAGATAATGAAATCTTAGTGACAAGAATACTAGCTGGTAGCTATATGACAGAATGGCAAAAGATATATGATGTTTGGTTTTTCAGAAAAGCAAACCATTTTTGTTGTTTTAGCACGCTTGTCAACATATCGTGCTGGTAATCACACCCAATGACACTACCTACCTGGCTGATGAAGCACAATGTTAACTGACACCAAGGGCCCTAAATGAACAGTTTCCTTCTTTCTGGTTCAGGGCTATAATCTATAATCCTAATGTGGATCTACCATCTTAGTTGGAAGCTCTTTCATTYAACATAAGAAAAGCAAACAGAGAGAGTACAGATGAATCTCTGCAAAGAGCAAGATAATATAATTTTGACAGTGAATTATCCACACAGTGGTACCTAAAGTAAATGAAATGACTACTGTCCTAATGCACTGCTACAAATCAACATGTCTACAAGTTAATGGAAAGCTGTGAGTGACAGGAGTACTGAATTGCTAGGGTTCTAAGGACAGGGAAATTTGGCCTCCTCCCATAGAAAATATTCTATGGTATCCATTAGTTGTTTATAACAAACTACTGAGTCCAAGCTTGCAAGTGATCTGAAAGAAAAGAAGCTGCTTTACGGAGACAAAAATAAAATAAGATAAAAATAAGTAATATATTTGATGTGTGTATTAATATTTTTTTTCTTTGAAATTCCACAGAGCTTCAATAGACATCCTTTCAAACAACAAGTAATACATACTTAGTAAGCAGGATGGATCTGCATAAGTAAACTGAACACCCAAAACCCAAATAAAGACAAACCTCTACCTTTCAAAAGATTCACAATAGGGTGACAACAGGTGCCACCCAAGCTGTCTGGTCTAAGGATTCTATTTTAAAATTCTTCAATGTCCTCAAAAACCTCTAAAATGCATACACATCATCTTTACCATTTTTAACAGTTTATTCAAACCCTTTAAAACCATATAATAAAAAGTTATGGAGGGGGCTGGGGATAAGCTTAGTTGGCAGAGTGCTTGCCTAGCATGCACAGGCCCTGGGTTCAATCCTCGGTCCCAACAAAAAAAAAAAAAAAAAGAAAGAAAAGTTATGGGATTCCAGTCAAAGACAAATACTGGGAGCCAAAGAGTGTGGTGGTTAGGAGGGCTGGCTGTGGAGGCACACATTCATGGTTTGAACCCCCATAACTGTCATTTCTTGCACAATGACCTCAGGCAAGTTACTTGAGTATCCTCACCATGGGTGAGGTGGGAATAAAACACATTTCCAGGGTGTGAGAATATAAAGTAGCTCTCCTATGGTAAGTATTCAGAAATATTAGCTGTTGTAACTTTTCTAAATTATTTTCTAATTATCATTCAAATATTTTAAAGAACTCACTGAAATTTATGATCACTGGAAAAAGTTTTTGATTTGAAATACTTGTAACATCGAATGTTTCACACAAATACTGTGCCACTGTAATAGAAATTTCAGCAGTTTTTAGGCAACTTAAGACTATGATATATTTAAAATGAACTAGATTCACTAAAAAACAATATTTAAGAAGACATGCTTGCTGGGTGCATTGGCACACACCTATAATCCCACCAACTTTGGGGGGTTGAGGCAGAAGGATCACAAATTCAAAGCCAGCCTGGACAACTTGGTGAGACCCTAAGCAATTTAGTGAGACCCTGTTTCAAAATATAAAATAAAAAGGTCTGAGGATGTGGTTCAGTGGGTAAGCACCCCTGGGGTGAATCCCTGGTACCAAAAAAAAAAAAAAAAAGGATATTATTGTAATTAAATGTTCACTATGAAAGAAACAAAGAAGTAAAATACAACAATTCAGCAAAGTGTAACTGTGTCAGTACCACTATGCTATTCTAAACAGCAAAAACCAGAAACATCAAGATGAAAGATCCCTTTGAAGATTCATCACACAACACTACTAAGGACACAACAGGCTGAGAGCAGAGCTTTGGTTTTCACATATCATTCAGAGGATTCACAGTATTCTTGGAGGAAATTAAACAGGAACAAGACAACATCTAATTGTGGTTTTTGAGTACTTCTTTAAACATCATGGATCAGAAAACCCACAGAAAGAATATCAGAATATTAACAACCTAGAAAAATTAAAACTGAATTTGTAGTAATGAGGTTGGATAAAACCCTTCCAGTTTATCTGGATGCCAGGGCTTAACTTAGGCTCCATGGTCACTATAAATTGACTTTGAAAATGTCTGCATCCTCCCCGACAACTTAGGTAAATTCTGTGGGAAAGAGTAAGTATAGGTACATTTTTCCAGGGAGAAGGCCTTAGTGTTCATCAGACTGTCAAAAGGGTTCCCTAATCCTGTAGGTAACTCTTTCACCAGGGCATGTAGAAAAGGGAGCACAAATCCCTAGCTGTTCAAATTCACAGAACACTTCAAGGTAGCCTCATTATGTTCAAAACAGGAAGGAAATGACTCAAGTCTCTGTAGGTTTGGTATTCAAGGCAACTAAAACGATACAATGGAAGAAAAAATGTTCTGAAATGCACAAAATGCTGCAAAAATACAAGATAGTATTTAGAGTGGCTACAGAAGAGCAATTTGCTTTTGCCCCATATACTCCATCAGGAACCAAACAATATGCATCTCAAGAGGAAGTTTGAAGCCAGACACATGTGAATCAAACTGATCACAGAAAGCTTGACTGAAAACGTGCAAGAAAAGAAGGAAGTGGAAYAAATTAACATTTTTAGAGAAAATGACAGTCTGTATAAACTTGATGTATAAATCCTCTTCTTAAAGTCCTCCATTCCCATCTTCAAAGGAAATTGGAAACACCACCTGTACTATCCAACTCATGAAATAACCATATAAGGTTGAGTTATCACAATACTATTTAAAATCAGTCTTTGTTTCAAGTGACAAGATGAAAATTGGAACAGTTGCAAAGCCACTGGTTTTCAAAGATTTACTTAAGATTGCTAATCGGATCCTGTGGAGCCAAAAAAAAAAAATATATATATATATATATCATCTGGCATTTGAATTATTTCAAACTCAAAGTAGCTAAATCCAAGGACCAAAACCAACATATAATAATCAATTGAGTTCCAATTACTAAAACAGATCCGATTTTTAAATCTCAATAGTATGTGTTGGGAGAAGGGTTTGGGCCTTAGTGCTCATATATGCTTATATTACCAGTGACTGTGTGGGTGTCTGGTAACTGTAATGCATGTACCATTTAGAAATTCCACGCTAGTTTTAGGGGACTGCAAGGGTTCTTAACTGAATAACAGGGGGAAAAAAAAAAAGAAAAAACAGAAGCAGCAGCTCAGATGAAAGGATTCTTAGAAGAACCACTGAATCTCCCTAAACGGAGAGCATGGTACTCATCAGGTTATTCTCATCAGCAAAATGAGGAAATCAAGCCTTGGACAAGTGAAGTCACCAGTCCAAGGTCATTCAGAGGCAAAATCCAGCGTGAACCTAGGCCCTTGGGATCTCCAAACTTGAGACTCGCACTGACTCCTAAGAGCTGGTAGTGTGTGCAAGACCTGCAGATTCTACCCGTGGAGCGGCTGCCGGGATGTCAGGAGCAGAGACGTCATCCACCCAGACCCTATGGCAAGTGTCCAAGAGCTGAGCTGGGAGTGTCGCCCACCCTGGGTTGGCGGGGCGGGGGTCTGGTGAGGGGTGACACCTGCAGCCTCTGGGGGCCGCAGCCGGGAGGACGCTCGCATTACTTCTGTAATCGGGTCTTCCTGTGGATTGCCCAAACCCCTTCCTGTCGGGGGAGCGGCCGCGAACCCCGCCGCCGGCCGGACCCGGACAAGGGGGCGAAGGGGAAGGGAGGGAGCGGAGGGCGGCGGCCCCCCGCCCGCCYGGCTGACAGGCCCCGGGCAGGTCTGGTTCCAAGGCCACCCCGGGGCCCCGCTCGCTACGACCCCGGCCGCGGGATGCGGGATTCCATCTCTGGAACTCGCCGGCCTCGAGGGGGCGGCTCCGGGACAGGGGTCCCGGCCAGGGGAGCGTAGGGGAGCGGGCCCGGCCGGTGCGACTCACCCGGCCCGCTGCAGTCAGCGCACAAGTCGCTGCTCCGGAGCCTCTTCGACATGGCTCCCGCCTCCACCTGCCGGGAACCAGGGGCCCGGGAACCGCGAAGGCAGCGGCGGCGGCGGCGGCGCTTCCGCTCTAACGGGTCCCCTCAGCAGCGCTGGCGGCGGGCGCCTCTCCCCTCAGCGCCTCGCAGCCGCGGCGCAGCACGCAAGCGCGGGGAGGGGCTCTTCTGCGACTGGCAGGTCATGTGACCGGAAAGGGCAGTCTTCCTTGTCGCCATCTCAATTAAGGGCAGGTACCTGCCCCAGCATCCTCTATCCTGCTCCAAAATCCTCTTAAATTTGCGTCATCCTTTCTGGAAAAGATTCTCTTCCTCTCAGCACTGATTAGTAGCAGTCGAATCAGCAAAATCTCATGATTAGAACTCTGTATCCACGACCTCCCTGAAGCATTAAATGGTTAAATCAGGTTCAATCATTCATTCCTGTAGTCAAGAAATATGTATATTCCACACACTGTTCCAGGCACTGGAGAAAAGTCGGTAAGCAAAGAGAATAGCACTTTTGGTCCTAATAGAGCTTACGTTCTACTAAGGGTAGCTTATGCCAAAAGAAAAAAAAAGTAAAATAAGGATATATTAGATAATTTCTGTAGGCTGCAATATTAATTTTGTTTTAAAAATGTAGATAATGCGTTGCCTACAATATGTTTTTGTATAGCCCGTCATCTAAGGTTTTTTTTGTTACATAAAAAAAAAAAA